GAAATTTCACTGTAAAGAAAATGGATGCATTTGTTTTATTGCAGAACCTGATTATTGCACTATATAGTTTAAAAGAGCTCAATAAAAGTATTGTACTAATTAATAGACCAAACTAACCAGTAAGATTGAGGGTTTCCAGTGCTGGGCCTCCGAGACCCTTCACATCAAACAGCCGATTGCTTGCAATGCTGAGCCACTGCAGGAAAGTGAGCTGACCGAAAGGCTGTCCCTCAAAGCCCTGAAGCAGGTTGCTGTCTCCCTTCACCCACAGCAGCTGAGTGAGGCCAGCCAGTGGAGAGAAGTCTGACAAATGATTGGAGGACAGGTCCAAATAACGCAGATGGATGTAGGAGCTGAGCAAGGCTAGGTCTGTCAGACCCCTGGTTTAGACAGGTAATGGGAATCAATATTTTTTACTTTAGTGAGATACAGTACATGGTGTAGAGAATTATGAAAATAGTCATTCATTTTGATATTTGTACATATTGTTCTAACGATTAGTAAAACATTGTCAACCAGCTCATATTAGAGTATTAATTTAACTTTGGCAGGAAGTTAGGTTACAGTCAGTAAAATAAGCTGACGTGTAGTTACAAAGTTACTAGTTTATGGAACATTTGTTAAGTAGAAAGTCCATTAAAGAATAGCTTGCACACAAAATGAAATTTCACTCACTGTTGTCTCAGACCCAAACCTTTATTACTTTCTTTCTACTGTTGAGCACAAAAGAAGATAATTTAAAGAAAGCTGAAAAAAGCTGTAACCGTTGACTTACTACATTTGCAAATACTAAAGATGTGAACGGTAACAGGTTTCTAGCTTTCCTCAAGGTATCTTCTTTTGGGTTTAACTGACTAAAAAGAAACTTATAAAGATTTGGAACAACTTGAGGGCAAGTACACAGTTTTTGGAGTAACTATACCTTACTTGCTCTAATGCAGGGGTCACCAACATGGTGCCCGCGGGCACCAGGTAGCCCGAGATGATCAAATGTGTTGCCCGCATGCCTGTTCTAAAAATAGCTCACTATAGCGCCACTTACCAGTAAGCTTCATCTAATATAGAAGTAATCATTTAAAAATGTAAATATTTGCAGAGATATGTAAAAATAAGGTGTTGCACATTGATACATTAAATACAGGGTTGATAACTTTAGTGAGAATCATTAACATGATTGGTGTCTTCACATGGATGAATATCATTAATTATTACCAAAAACATAAAGTATAATTAAAAGTAAATTGAGCAAGTTTTTTATTTGAGAAGTGTTTATCAAACTGGTAGCCCTCCACATTAAACGGTACCCAAGAAGTAGCTCTCAGTTTCATAAAGGTTGGTGACCCCTGCTCTAATGACTGTTAGTTGAAAAATAGTTGAAAAGTTGCAGTTAGAAATTAGAATATCTAAAGTCTACTAAAAAGTGTTATTGAACGAACAAACTTACTTATTTTTAAGATCAAGTCTGACATAGGCATGAGACAGACCATTCCCTGTGCGACATAGCAAAGATAAACTTCTCGCTAAAATGTCCTGGGTTAGTGGACAAGACTCTAGCTGAGTAAAGAGAGAGACAGAGAGATTCTTAAATGAACTCACGAAGAATCATTTTAATTATTTGGATAAAAATGTTACTAAAATAAGACCAAAGAAAACACATTTTATACCTGATCTCCATCTGATTTCTCTTTCTCTTCCAGATCCTCATTCTCTCCCTCATGATCAGAGTCTGCTTTCAATACCTCATCTTCACCAGAGTCTGACATTATTCTTCTATCTTAACTACCTTGTCGATCAACTTTTCACGGGTTGAAATAAATGATTGGGAATTTAGATCGATCAATTTACATCATTAGCATGCTGGCTAACTTTAGCTTGCTTGTTAGTAACTTAACAGACAGGATGCACTGAAAATAACTATTTTACTTGTAACGTTAAACAATTTATGATCATTTCCTGTAACATTAATAACTCAAAAATTACAAATGGATTATATGATCCCGATGTCCGAACAAGTTTTCTGTCACTCACCTCGCGCTGATGAGTGTTTATGGCTGTTACCATAGTAACACCACATGTCCCAGAGAGACTACCGTTCCCTCATCATAGGATCTCGAGAGTGCAATTTCACATCGCGTGGCCATGACAAAAAAAAAGTTGTGAGCCGAACACATACCCTCCCGGTAATTATTGTGCATGTCTAGGGTTATTCACATTTAACCACACTGAGTTTCTGTGGATAACTGAGTGATAACTGAGTTGTTACTCACTATATTTGAGGTAATAGTTGCAATTTAGGTATAGAGTGACACGAATGCATGAGTGTTTCCAGAGTAATGGCAGTTCATAACACTATGGCGACCCCTGATAAAGCAGGGATTAAGACAAAGGAAAGTGAGCTAGTGTGTAATTTGAAAAACAGACTAATAGCCTCATGTTGTTTACAGTGCATCAATGCCATTGGAAAGTCGAGATCTTTAATGAAGGGAAGAAAAAAATCATCCAAATATCAAAAAGTAATATTTGGTTCACAAAATGTAAAGGCAGTAAGATGCTTATTGGGTTTATAAAGGTTATGTCATAAAGTTGTTTTATGTTAACTGTTTTGTAAAACAATTGGTTGTAATTGCAATAAATGTTAACTTTAAGCTTGAGCTAAAAACTAAAGACTAATGCAGACTCAAAAATGGAGACACTAAAGATGTCTGAAGATGATATCTTTATTTCAGTTAGAATCAGCATCTGCCTTGTCTTTGTCTTTATAAAAAACTCAGCTGTATGTCACATCAAGCACCTTGCAGTGATCCTCAGCAGCACTCACCCTTAGGTCACCCTCACCAATCCCATTGTCTTCTGGTGGCCCCTCAGAGGGTTGTGCTGTGTCTTTGGTGACCCTCACCAACCCGCAATGTCTTTGGTGACCCTCACTAACCCACAACATCTTTGATGACCCTCACCATTCCCCAGTGTCTTTGGTGACCCTCACCAACTCTGTTCTTGGTCCCCCTGACCAACCCTCTGTGTCTTCAGTGACCCTCACCAACCCACAGTGTCATTGGTATCCCTCAACAACCCCCAACGTCTTTAGTGACCCTAACCATCCCTCAGTGTCTTTGGTGACCCTCACCAGCCCGCAATGTCTTTGGTGACCCTCACTAACCCACAACATCTTTGATGACCCTCACCATTCCCCAGTGTCTTTGGAAACCCTCACCAACCCTCTCTGTCTTTGGTGACCCTTACCAACCAGCAATGTCTTTGCTGACCCTCACCAACCCTGTCTGTTCTTGGTGACCCTCACCAGCCCTCAGTGTCTGTAGTGGCCCTCACCAAGCCACAGTGTCTTTGGTGACCCTTTCCAACCCTCTGTGTCTTTGGTGTACCTCACCATCCCTGAGTGTCTGTGGTGACCCTTACCAACCCTCTCTGTCTTTAGTGACCCTCACAAACCCTGTCTGTTCTTGGTCATCCTCACCAACTCTCAGTATGTGTGGTGACCCTCATTTAACCCATGCAAGTAAAGTGCACACACATAGCAGTGAACAAACACGCACACACGCACGCACACACACACACAGCGAAGCGTGGACACACATTCTAGGCAGTGGGCAGCTTTTTCTGCAGTGCTTGGGAAAATGTGTATGATATCGCATACTTTCACAGTGATAAAACACCTATTATGTTTGTCTGTTTTTGCCGAGGGGTGTCTGGAGCCACGAGTCAACATCAGAAAAGGGTCGTTAAAGCCGGAAATCGAAAACTGAGTCAGAGTGAGTCAAAATGAAACGCAAAACCAAAGCCTTATAGACAAAGTCTGACAAAAGCGCCTGTAATCAATAGAAAAACAGCAAACCGCACAAAGCAACAAAGAATTCCAATAAAGAACCTGCTCCACCTTACGTCAGTAGTGCGTTCTGTTTAGGATCAGAGGAATAGATCCGAGGAAACATCTATAAAAACATGTACATGCATTAACTTCAGCAGTTTACATGAACAATATTTACTGAACAACATATAAAAGAAACTAAAACTACTTTTTTATACTTTTAAAATTAATTTCAATGAAATAATAGGCTACCAACACCATGATTTTATCCGTTAACGCAGTTATGCTTTGCTTTTTTTTAATTTTACTTTAAAATAATTGTAATTTAGTATTGTACATTAGCATATTAAAAAAAAATTTTTTACTATATGTTTCAGCTTTTGTTAAACATCATTCTTAAATGAATCATTTCATATTTTAAAGTTGCAATAATAGTTATAACCCACTTTATACTTTTCTGAAAGTGTAAAAAAAATTCAATGAATGCTCTGAAAGTGCATCTTTTTGGCTCCTTGAGTGATTTAAGTTTCCATTTATTTATGAGCCAAAGGAAAGTGAGTGTATGAGTATTTGTATCATAGACAGTTCTTATTTAGTTTAAGTTATGACTTAAATACACAAGTCAAATGAACGAAGAGTGAATTTTAAAATACACAAAAAATAAAGAATGTACTGAACTGTTAGAAGCACATCAGTCTAGAGTGAGTTGGCTAAGCCAAGCAGGACACACATCATGTTAGCTGACCCCTATAATTTTGGATCAGTTTTGGTATTCTGTGTAAGAAAACAATATGAAGACATTTTCTACCAGGACACATTTACATTCTTTTACAGCAGCTCTAAAACATAAATAAATAAAATTCCATATTACAAGAGAACCCTGAGCATAATATTTAATGATATATGATCATCAATAAATGATTTTTTGCATATTTACAATTTAAATGTTAGCCTACTTTTACTAACTGTATATAATTAATAAAATATATATTAACAAATATTTGTAAAATCCACACAGAAGATAAATATGACAATTTAATATAACAACCACATACTTCTGTTTACGTACTTAGTTTTGTCTCTATTCGAATTGATCCAATCCATTCCTGTTCGTAAACATACAGCATGTAAACAAGTGATAAACACTGACTCAATCAATACAGTGCAAAGTGAGCATTCAATAAAATCCAAATAATTTATTTCGGTAGCATCTCTCTAAAACAAATGACTACCGTAGTAAATCACACAACAAAGTAACCTGCTTCAAAACAGTAATCATAAATAGTGATTAAATCATGCACGCTAAAAGCAGCAACAGCGCAATAATAAACTGAAGTAGAATAACATTCTACTCTGTAACAGTGTAAGGAAAAATATAATTCTATTTTAATTCGATCAGAGTTTAGGTAAAACAACATTTACCTAAAACTGGAGAGGAAGATGCTGACACTTTAGCATCAAATTGCAACATTACTTAACATCAAGTGCGTTAAACTGCATTTATGTAAACTAAGAAACACAACATGTTAAAAGTTTTGCTTTGGTTAGTCTCAGCTTCAAACTTGTCTTAAAACAAAATGGTTTCAAATTATAAGTGCAAAAAAAAAAAAAAAATTCTTCACACTCTCAGAAAATCTTTAAGTTTTTGATGCAAAACACACTTTGTTAATTGCATCAAAGTATAAATACTGTAACATTAAATACATTTTTAATGTTCACAGACCCTGAGAATAAGGGTGGTAAATGTAAAACCTGTGACAAAATTGCATGTAAGAAAAAAGAACTATTAAGCAGCTGCCAATGTTTATGAAAATAAAAATACTACATTCAATATGGCATGTGCTGTTTGTGATATGTCAGTTATTCAGGATGTAAATATGATGGTTTGATCATATATATGATCTGTGATTGTAGCAGAGAACATCCGACATGGTTTTTCCACATTGCACTTACCACATTATCATTTTAATGCATAATGTGTCTATTTGATATGTACTTGTGTTACTTGAGCTTCATTCGGCTATACTGTTTGAATATTTCCCTCATAGTTCTCCATGCAGATCTGGATGCGTCGGGTGAAATAGTCAGGCTCAGAAATGGCCTTCAGCAGGTCGTTCTGAACCAGACAGAGATCGTACAGCTCTGATGTGCAGGCAGTTCGGGTCTGCAAGCCCCCACGCTCTAAAAACACCTGCAGAAAGAGGTGGATGAAGAGTGAAGAAATGGAAGAGAGACATAGGACGGTTATTCTGCAGATGAAAAAATGGACTTCTCATACCTTAGGATGGACAATAGTGTCCTCGTCATTTTGACGAATGTTGTCGTCAATGAAGATATGTTGAACATTGCTGTCAAAAGGGTCAATCCAGAGTGGTTTTCCTCCTAAAATGGAGTATGTGTTTCGTGCCCACCTATTTAGGATAAACAAAACATGCACTTTGACTTCAATGAGACAATATGGTGACAATATAATTAAATTCTCTGAATTTGACCACTGTTGGAAACAGTCGTTAATAGAAATGTCAATTTTAAAATATCTATTTCCCCCTAACATTTGAGCACTGATGAGTGTGATCTTAAACACTGCTGAATGCCCTTTTGGGTTATGATAGTGACTGAATATGATTGCGACTGGATTATCAATTCATCACTCCTCACAGAGCAGAAACCGACAGGGGAACATTTGAAAGTGGCGTCTTTCAGCTAATCTATCAAGGGATCGCACGTATATCTTACTCATCGATGGATCCTCTGATATATGTTACTTTCAAACGCTCTGAATATGTCTGAATATTTGTGTTCACACTCTGTGAAGAGTGGTGAAGCGATGACCATTGGAGCCAATTACAGTGAGCACGCAAGCACAAAAGTGCAATAAGAAGTGTTCTTATTGTTGTAAGAAGTGTTTTTAAACTTTAGTAAAGACTCATACCAAATAGAGATGGACCGAAATGAAAATTCTTGGCCAAAACTGAAAATTCTGTATTTACTTGGCTGAAAAATGAAACCAAAAATGAATTGTAATAATGATATAATTAAATTATCATATTTTGTAAGACTTTCTAAATTAAACTCAATAACTGAGACTATGTGACTACAGCTAGAGGAAGAGTGAAACCAGCGTGCTGACCATTGTTGCACAGTGTGACGCAGCATAACACTTTTTCGGTTCACAAATTCTGTCATTTTTCTCTTTCAGCCAAAAAACGAAAATGCCATTTTGGTCTGAAAATTTCAGTATCCCTTGTACCAAAGTAAGTACCTTAGATATCTATAATATACATACAAAATAATCAAAAAACAACATTATTCAAGTTTTTTTTAATATATTTTAAAACAAACATTATTCATATTGTGCATTTAAGTCACTTGTTTTAAAGCAAAGCAAGTAATGCACAGGTCTGAAAACACCACAAATTATTTCTAAATCCATAATAGACCCCTTACCAGTCAAAGTTGTCCTGGAAGCCACCCAGACCCTCAGCAGAGCTTAGATACTGGTACACACTTCGCTCTCCGTCCCGTGTGGATGCATGCTCTTCTCCACGGGTCAGCGACACACCTTTAACACTGCACCTGATGCGTCCGGCCATCATATTCACCTTTAGCTGGGACAAGAGACAGTCATGTGGACATGAGTGACAGCGCTAAAAACAAATGCTCAATCAAATCTTTTTAAAATCCTGAATCGACACACTAAAGGACGGATGACACCATGGCTGAAGTATTTCTTTTAGACAGGTAATGTTAGGTTTTAAAATTATTTTAGTCATGCAAAGCTTAGACTTTGTCGTTTTGTGAATGGGTTAACTTATATGCACAAAAGACTATAGCTGTGTCTCATTTTAGAGGCTGCATCCTCTGAAGGATGAAGACTTCAAAGGTGAGTCCTTCGAAGTCCACACAGGCTGAACCGAGCATTTTGAAATGAGACGATCTAGCCCACAGAGGACAGATCTCGTCACCAGGCAACCGTAACAGCTGCAGGTAATAAGTGCTTGATGAAAATTTTTTTCTCAAAGTGTTTTTTAAACGTATTTTAAGCAATCTGAAGACAAAACAAGATTTACAAAAGCTGGAAATATATTTCCTTTTATCCATACATGTACAAATAAACAAGTAAACTGTCTATTAAATCACTCTTTAGTAAGACAGGTCATATCTTTTTGTTTTTTTGTTACGTGTGTTTAGATATCCAAGTAAAATTAACCTAATTCATACATTTAAACTGGAGCTTTCCTTTAAAAACACACACGTATCTTGGGGTGTTCGAGGTCGCAAAGGATCCACCAGTTGTATCCTTCATTACCTGGAAAATGAAGGAAGCTTTTGGAGGCTGCGTTTGAAGGAGCCTTTGAATTTTTTTAAAATGAGACCACCTTCGTTGTGCCACAATGACGCAGCACACTTTAAATGCATCCTTCGGAGAATGCAGTCTCTGAAACGTGACACAGCTTATAGAGTACACAAGACATGTCACTTGTAGACTTTTGAATGGGAAAAAGTGTAAATTTCAGTATGCTGAATGAAGCCCCACTTTCTAGTAAAGGAGCCAATCAGCTATCGCTACAAGGTGAATAAAACCCGCCTTCTAGTATAGTAGCCAATCAGTGATCGCTATAGAATGACAATTCTTTGGGGGAGGAGCTCAGATCAGATGTGAGTTTCTGCAGATTTTGTGTGATACTAACATTTAGAAATGAAACTAAATCTTCTGGCGAAAGCTTGATGTGACTATTTTCAGTTTCATAAGATACCTTTTACAGCAGGGGTCCTCAAACTTTTCAGCCCGCAACCCCTAAAAATAACAACACCAGTGACTCGCGACCCCCTCTATCCTAGGCGGTGGTTATAAGCATACAAATAATGCACACAATGGTGCACTAATACTCATACACTTATAGGAACTATAAAAACAAGCTTATTGACGACACAAAATAGTGCAACAGTCTATTTTTTTATAATCATTATTCATTTGCTTAATAAACTCACTTAATGAGAATGGTGAGCACAATGTTTATAGCACAAGACTATTCTTGTTTTAATTTTGGAGACTTGGAGCCACTTGGAGATTCCCTCCTTGTTCAGTCATGGCCTTTTTAAATGTATGTGAGTGCCATAAAGGTGTCAAAGTTTAACATTGTACTGTAAAATCAATCTTCTGCAACCAACACTATTGCTGTGATGTTAATCTAGCATAACCACAAGGGCCGCAATCTAATGGAAAGAAAGTTGAAAGGCTGATGACTTTTTATTTGCATGTTTTTTTATGTAACCATTAAATATTAAGTTTATATTAAATATATTATAAGCTAAAAATAATTAGCTCTAGTTTTTATATTCTGCAGGTTATGGAAAAAAATGTGGTCATTTTAATACTTTAATAAAATATATGAGATTTTTGGAAATCACCAAGCGACCCCCCCCAGGGGGTCCTGACCCCTACTTTGAGAGCCACTGTTTAACAGCATCGATTTGAATCGAAAACAATCAAATTGTAGTATTATAAAGTACTGTAAAGTTTTCTAACTGGTGAATGGCATGATCCAGTGGGTCTCTGTCATCTTTAATGTGCACGTTTGTGATTTCAGGAGGCGTGGCTTTGGTCAAAAGGGAAGGGATTGTATTTAAAAGATATTATGCTGGCCGCTTAGCATTTAGGCAGACCACTTACAACACCTTTAGGTGGGCTAATATTATTGACCATAGCAGTTTATTGAAATACATATAAATAATTGGGAAATATCATTTGACTAATAATTTTGTCTTCAATTGTATGTTTGTTGCTTGTATTTGAAGTTTGAATGGAATGTAGTTTCTGCTCTACAGTATGCGATCATTGACACGGTGTATGTCACAGTGTGTACAGTGTAACACCTTCAGTGCCGGGAGGTCAGGAAAGAGCGGATGTGAGCCATGCTCCACAGCATTTTTGACTGCAGCCAGGACACGAGGCAGATCTGTGCCAAACGTCCGGAACAGGACAGAGAACTCGATGCCCTGCGAAGCCAAGTCCTGCAGCATCTGGAAGAAGGAGGGCAAGATCCAGTGGTACAGCTTCCCATCTTCTCCCTTCACAGACAGCTCTTTATCTGCAGGTAAATGAGAGGGCCAGCTGAGCAGCTCCAGATGCTCCTCAAGGACCTTCCGGAACCGCCGACCTGGACCCACTGTGGTGAAGGCCGCCACCCGGCCAAACTGAGAGTAGTATGAAACAGCGCCTTCACAAGGCGGAAGGAGAGATGGAGCTTCTGACAACCACTCCCATTTACCTGTGAAAAATGAGGGAAAATGTTTGAGTCATAACGCAAAGCAACAGAGTAAATAATATATTACTAATTAATAAATTATTATTTGTATAAATAATTATGATTTACACATTTATATTTATTATAAAATCTACAAAAAAATCATACATTTTATTAATGGAAATAATCTATACACATGCATTACCTTGACATTAAAGTTATAACCCCCTACACATACATACATACATAGATACATACATACATACATACAAGAGAGACGCACACATCTAGATTATTATAAATGAATCTTTGTAAATATACTGATTTTTTTATTACTGTTTTATCCTAAAATGTTGATTGTTAAATGCACAGTTTATTCAGATTTATTACTTTTATTTATATATATATATATATAAGATTAATATGATAAATTGAATAATATATATATGAGAAGTCTTACAGATATTTTCTGTTGTATCCAAACTAATACATCGTCTAAAAATGTTTGTGTTTTCAGAAATTATAAGTTGAAATAAAGTGAGTTGTTCCTTAAAGCAAGGTAAAACATTCGTATTTCAACCCAGTTTTACTTGTCAAAAAAATGTTTCCTGGTGTAATTATTTTAAAATATTTGGAACAACAAACAAGACAAAACTCTAGGAGAAGTGAAGCCCCTAGCTAGATGTCTCACCTTTGGTCATGCGGCCCCAGGTCACAGTGGACAGGAAGTACTCAAGAGCAGCGACTGTGCCCTGTCTGGTCACCGCGTCCGACACCAGGATGGTGTTGTTGAGATCGAAGTGAAGGACGACTCTTCTGGAGGCTCTCCTCCTCGGGACAGAATCACTGGGCTCTTTGTGTTGCCCCGTCACGTCACTTTTGAATCCATTGCTTTGGTTTTGATCGATACTGGTTTCAGGGAGCCTCTCAGAGTTATACATGGTGTTCAAATATTTGTATTAGCGTTCACTTAAAAAGTACAAACATTAAAATTTAGAGTACGCAAGATACTTAAATAAGGCTAAATGAATGTCTCTGGCGACGAGTGAATGATGAATCCATGTTACGCAGATGACACACATGGAAGAACAGGCTTTCAGGTGATGAAGTCCTCATTTGTGTATATTTAGAGCCGTCAGATACAGATACATTTGTTTAATGCGTTCGTTTGAGAAAGAATATTAGACTGAAAACAGCTGAGCTCTCTAAACCGGCTTTTACAATGACAGCATGACTTCCGCGTGTTACTGTCAAACACCGCGAGAACAGAATAAAGATGGGATTGACGGGAGAAGGTTGTGAGAGCGCCGCCTGCTGTTCTTACTCCTCTTCAGACGCCAAAATAAGAGAATTAAAGGTTAATCAAAGAAAATTATAGCGAACAGTTCTTAATCTTAAAATAACTATTGTTTTATTTGTGGGAAAAACATTTTAAGAATTGAATGATTTTTCTTCACCGTAAAGAATATTTTGAGAACTTCAGAGATGTTCGCACAGGTTTTGCCAATTGCCTTAAGTACATTGTGTGGGGCAAAATTATTGATTTCCTTTTACGCCAAAAATAATTGGAATATTAAGATCATACTTGGTTAAAATATACATTTTTTTCTTTAAATATGCCTTTATCAATTTCAGATTAGTATGCCTATGAACTTTAGACAACTTTAAAGGTGATTATATATATATATATATATATATATATATATATATATATATATATATATATATATATATATATATATATATATATATATATATAGTGATCAGCATAATTGAGTACACCCCTTTTGAAACTGAATATTTTTATCCACGTCTCAGTGAATATAAGCAATGGATTTGGGCGCATTTGAACAAAACATATTTATTAAACAGATATATTTATTAAAATAATATTTTAGTCACCAAACATATTTAGAAATTGAAAGATAATACACTTAAATTCAAGCTAAATATTGCTAAAAAAATTACAACCTACACAATTTCAACAAAAATGCAACTTTTTCTTTTTTATTTGTATTTAATATTTGTCTCTACCATATAAATTTGACTACTAGTTTTTGGACCATTATCTTAAGGTATTTTGTTAGATAAGCTCCAGCTTTGGCTTCAGTACTGACTAATCTAATGTATATGCACCAATGAAATATTGTATAGCTTCCAATTAAAAACACAAAGATAGATTGTGATAGATTGTACTTAGCACTAAATACTAAAGCACTACTAGCACTAAACCTCTCAAATAGAAAGCTTATACAATGGAAGCTTATTTATGCAATTTTCAGATGATGCATACATCTCACTTTGATAAAAAAAAAAAAATAGCGACTTATAATCTGAGACAAGGGTCACAAGTAGAAACTTAATTTTAAGAGCGTAGTTTATCATGTATAACAGTTTTAGCTTTAACAGTCTTTGTGGCTGTTTCCGGTTAGTTTGAACTAAAACGTAACAATTTCCATCCTTTTTAAAAAACCCTATTTTGTTTATTTTTTATTGCTATGAAACCCTTAATTTCCATGGCAGTAAAAATACATTATGCACTTGTTTGACTTCACATTATATAAAGGTCTTATGTGATTGATCATTTGTATAAGCAGATGCACATATTTTTACAACTTCACTACAGTTTAAAAAAAATATATATATATAACATGATTTTTAGGTGAAAACAATGTTATGAACATAATCCATACATATTTCGAACAGAAATGGACAGTTTTAGGACCATGTATAGAAATCTTTGAATAGGACCCCTTTATATTTGTAAATAGACCATGTATTTGACTTATGACTCTAAAAAGAAAACCACCACTGCCCAGCCAATAACTTTACATAAGAAGCCTTCAAACAGTGCATAATGTACATCTATGCTTCAAAATTAGTCTGAAAGTATACATTACTATCAATGCATGTACCAATTGTGTTTTTGGTAACAATTTGTTGGGGATATTCATAATTTAAGCAAAATATGACTCATGATGATGTAGCAGTTTTAACGAGGGTCCGACTTGTTCATTGTAACATTTTGCTTATAAACGTACAGGTAAAAAGTGATATTTGACAAAAAAATTAAATAAAAACAATAATAAATAATAATAATAATTTTAAAAATAAATGCGCATACAGCTGTAACATCTAATGTTGTTAAGCAAAAAAGGCTTTTTATTTATATTAACCATTTGTTTTATTCACAGCAGCATTCTCACGATCAAACCCCCAATTCCCACTTACTATGCAGTCCGATACGAAAACAAGGAATGGGGGAAAACACAACAATTCACTCAAAACGTAAGAAAAAACTAAAGAGATGGTATGTGATACACAGTACTAGGGCTATTGCAGGTCAACATGCATCTCGTTCAATCAAACTCTTTTTGCATTTCCACAGGATCCAACAAAGAGCAAAAAAACAAAATCAAAATCTATTCCGATCGCAGGATTGTCTGAGAAAGAAAAATGGACATCAAGTTGAGTAATGGCCTTAGTGTAAAAGGTAAAACAAATCCAAAACAATCTGCTTTGTCCACACTTAAAACTTCACCTACAACAGCTTTGCACAACACTTCCAGACTCTTCATAGAGAAACACATCAGGCCAGATGATAATTCAAAGAGGAAAAAAATAAAAATAAAACGTTGAACGCACTCACTAATGGGCTTTTCCCAAAGTAACACCTCGTGGAAACAAGCAAGAGAAACATTTTAGTAGAAACCTAATGTGAAACTGTGAACGGCATAATTCCTAGGAGTTAAAATGTTTTCATAGTCATAAAAAACCTTTCAGATCTGTGCGCTTCCTCTTACCACCGATGGTGTATTTCAATTTGTGCACTTTCCAGAAATATTTGTGAATATGTGATTAGTCCTTAAGCATCATCGCCTTGTTGTATCGTAACATTCAGGCTGTTTCCAAAACAAGCAGTCTTTGTATTGGAAATGGACACCCAGCCTCTTGTGTCCACATTGCAAATGTAAATAATAATAATAACAATAAAAAAAGGAAATAGAGCACCTTTGCCATGCTAGATCCACTTGTGAGCATTAACGTCAATTAATGTTTGTTGTTTTGTTTGGAGAAAGCAAGTCTCCCTGACCGGGTCAAGTTTCAATCCACCTCCTCCATGCTGCTGTAGGACGGGGCGGCACATTCTCCAGAGTGTGCAAACATGTCTGAGGTCACTTCCGTGCTCAACTGAGGGGGCCCGTCAGGATCCAGGTCTGTCCCAAACAGTGTCTGGCTAGAAGCCTGTAAAATAAACCACCGTTATAAAGAGAGAAACGTCATGCACCTTCGGAACGGAGTACATGAACGCCAACTGCAAATAAGACCATTATGATGAGAAAAAACAAAACAAAAAACAGATCTTAATCATTTTATCCAGGACCATTCGTAATTACAATCTGTGATGAGGTACAATTATATCTGATGGTGTTGTTTTTCAGTCATGGTGTCCAGAGTTGAGGCATTCACAGAAGCCAAATGTCTGTTAGGCTTTTTTAGTGTGGATGGAAACACAAACAATGAATAGGCCACCAGCATCCCTGAGACTGTAGAAAATGCCACATATCCATTAACTAGAGTAGCGCTCATATTACAATATAAGGATCTCATGTCAATGTACAACATGTGCAATCAGGCTTTGAATCAATGGTGCATAGTAGAGGGAAAACAGAAGTACAGTATTGAGCCCACTCAGAAAACGCTCAACTACAAACTCATTATTAAACAAAACATCTTAAAACATTGCAGACTACTGAGAACCTTGGCAACAATTCCATATTAAGACAGAGGAAAATCATTTCATGTTTACAAGGAGTAAATACAAGCAACTAAATTTGAACAAGGCAGGACTGGATTATATTTATCGGAGATTATTTGATGGCAAAGTAGTGGGTTTAACACAAAAACCTAATTTACACCTGGTATTAAATCCATTTGTTTATTTTTTTACAAGATAAGGTTTATAAAAGCATGGGCAGCAAAAATGACCATAGCCATACCACCCAGCAGGCCACGACCACTTAAGGCTGATTTATACTTCTGCGTAAAACGCCGGCGTATGCTACGGTGCTGACGCATAGCCCTTCGCCGTGGCTGACGTGCACCTCTCAAAAATTGTAACTACACGTCGCAACGACGCGTAGCGCAAGCTCTGTGATTGGTCGGCTTGGTAGCGCTGACGAGGCTGGGCGGGGCCGAGAGCCACGCAAATGGCGCGAGCCCAATGTAGCGATTGTTTACAAGTGTGGAGTCCCGTGAAGGAGCTCCGAATGGAAAGTTTTGTTTTGCGTTTACCTCATAGTTAAAGTTGTTGCACGTCCGCCGATTCCTGCCTCAAAATGAGCGAGTTTGAGCCACTTGTACATCCCGGAAGTGTTTAGGAAAAGCAAAACAGCAGAGAAGAAACTCGACACAGAGGAACATTTACACCTCACTGCCCACTAGCGTTTCGGAAGTGTTAATGCAGACCAACAGAGACAGCGCGCAGAAGTATAAATGCACAGCTACGCGCGTTGCATGCGCCGTGGGTCACGCCGGTCACTTGACGCAGAAGTATAAACCAGGCTTTACTCACAGAAGTTAAGCAGGGCTGAGCCTGGTCAGTACCTGGATGGGAGACCACTTGGGAAAACTAGGTTGCTGTTGGAAGTGATGTTAGTGAGGCCAGCACAGGGCGCTCAGCCTGGTCTGTGTGAGTCCTAGTGCCCCAGTATAATGAAGGGGACGCTATACTGTCAGTGTGCGCCGTGTTTTGGATGAGACATTAAACCGATTTTATAGCACTTTCATACAAGTATGAATTTGGAAACTGGCTGCTCAATTTGGTCTTGGTTTATATATACATACGCAGAGTAAAGTTAAGCATTACAACAGTTCCAGACATCACAACAGTTTTAAAGCTGTTTATGTCTAGATTCACAAATTTGATCACTTGCAATTAACAGTGTAGATCTGCTGGAAAACATCCGATTGGAGGGGGAAAAAAAGTCTTGATTGGTATGCAATATGAGCATAGCCAAGGTCACATTTTGAGCTTGTCCACAAAAATACATCGTATTGGACTACTTTTGTAGTGTAAATGTGGTCAAATGCATTCACACAGCCACAAAAGTACACTCCATTGTACGAAAACACAGATTATGGCTGAAATTGTAATTGTTCTCCACATCTTTTTCATCCACTAAATTGATTCTCACTTTTGAAACACAAAGTGGTCAATAATGTGTCATGCTAATACCAGGTATAAAAGAGGCCACAAACTGGGATCAGAAGTTTGTAATTTTGCTAAAAACATGGACTAATTCAGTGTTTCTCAACCACATTCCTGAAAGCACACCAACAATACATGTTTGGATGTCTCTTCTATCCATTACACCCGTAATAGGTTTTTCAGTCTGTGCTAATGAGCTGATGATCCAAATCAGATGTGTTTGGTTAAGGAGACATGGAAATTGTGCAGAGCTGATGGTCCTCCAGGATGGTGGTTGAGAAACACAGGGCTAAATCCCTATCTAGCCATTATTTTTATCAACTAAAACAAGCAAACAAAAAATTTTATATATTAAAAACACATTTTCTGGGGAATAAAATAGACTGGTTAATAAAGCGTAATAGGACCAAGTCTATGCCCATTAATAATAGTTACAATGGTGTAACATGAGTAAATAATGTTTAAAGTATGTTGACTTTAAAACTAACATTTATTAATTAGCTTATACATTAGAAACCTACTTAGTCAGCAGAGGAGTCATTGCTAATGATGATTATAAAGGCATTCAAGTTCTATTTAAACACATAGCTGATACACAATGCTGACTGCCAGGTGTTATAAAGACTTCTTTTTCACTCAATAAGGAAAATTCTGCCATCACTTACCCTCATGTCATTATAAACCTGCATTAACACAAAAGACAACATTTTAAACAATGCTTGGTAACAGTTTTTGTTTTCCCATTAACCCACCGTATGGAAAATAATACAATAGAAGTTAATGGGAAGTGAAACTGGTTACCAATGATTAACAGTAATCATGAAGCTTTGGAACGACATGATGGTGAGTGAAGGATTATTATTTCCCTAATGAACTGCCGCTTTAAAATTACTAATCTACATTTAGATTTTCTTATTGGTCATACAGTTAAAATAAATCTATGTAAAAGGAACTGGCAAATAAATCCATCTAACTCTAGGTAAGCATAAACTATTAAATGCATATATTAAATACATTTATGTTTTTGTAAGATAGTTTTCCTGAGTGTTTATTTAAAAAAAAAAACTGGATAATGTTATAAAACAAACATAAAGAAGAAAATAAAATTCCTCCAAATATAAATAACATTGAAAATCCCATCAAAAATAGACATGATTAACAGTACGATCATTTTAAAGTGCAAATCTTGTACTGAGGGCCTGTCAAAACTCTATCAAACCCAGTTGGACCAGTACAACAAAGGATAGATGAGATTGAACAGCAATGCTAGGATTGCCGCCACAGTGCCCAAGATGAAATATCTCATGCGTTCGCCATCAGAATAATCTGAGTTGTCATCTCGTCTGCGGTGAGAAAGCCCTCCCCTGCCCTCCTCTTCTTCTTCTTGCTCAGGTCTCATCCTGGCTCTTCTTCCGCGCAGACCGGGGCGGAACAGGCTCCGAAAAGAGGCCTCTCGCTGCCCCTCCTCATCCTCCTCCAGTTCCTGCCATATCAGAGACGCCTGCGATTGGCGGAAACCTGTGTCAGCTTCTAGGAAAGGGCCTTGCCTCATCATTACACCGCAGAACACCAAATACACTGAGTATCAAAGAGCTCACTGGCTGCTCCAGTTTCATCTCCCGCCCACACATTCAGGTGGACAGGCAAGATGATTAGCATGTAAGAGTCAATTCCACAATTTGAATATCAAGTTTGTCAGTGAAGTTTGCGACAAATTCTGTCATGTTATGTTGGCTACTAAAACTTTTGCTCAATGTGTGAAACTCTTGCAAGACACAAGTTTCAATTTAAAGGAAGTCCCCTTGAGGTAAACAGTCAAATTTTACCATTTTTGAACCCATTCAGCCAATCTCCAGATCTGGTATGACAGGATCACTTTAACTTTGCATAAATCGTTGAATCAGATTAGACCATTAGCATCTCACTCAAACTAATTCAAATAAGAGGTTCAATAATTTTCCTACATAAAGCTTGATTTTCTGTAGTTACATTGTGTACAAAGACTGACTGAAAATAATAAAAAGTTGCTATTTTCTACATCAATATAACTAGGAACTAAACACTCGTTCTGGCATAAAATTCAAGGAATTTTGCTGGCGTACAAATTATATTATGCAGCACATAAAAATAGTCCCCAGATAGGTAACAGGTCTGCGTAATATTATTGCGTCTATATACAGTATATCCGGAAAATATTTATAGTGCTTCACTTTTTCCACATTTTTTTGTTACAGCCTTATTCTAAAAATGGATTAAATTAAATTATTTCCTCAAAATTCTACACACAATACCCCATAATAACAATGTGAATTTGCAAATTCATAAAATAAATAAATAAATAAAATAAAAATCACATGTACATAAGTATTCACAGCCTCTGCCTTGAAGCTCTAAATTGAGCTCAGATACATTCTGTTTCCATTGATCATTCGGTAACATGTTTTAGTTTCAGTTCGGCCATCTAAGCCGAGTGATTGGGGGAGAAGGGCCTTAGTCAGGGAGGTGATCAATAACCTGATGGTCACTCTGTCTGAGCTCCAGCGTTCTTCTGTGGACAGAGGAGAATCTAACAGAAGGACAACCTTCTGTGCAGCAATCCACCAATCAGGCCTATATGGTAGAGTGGCAAGATGGAAGCCACGCCCTGCCTGGAATTTGACAAAAGACTCTCAGACCATAAGAAACTAAATTTTCTGGTCTGATGGGACTAAAATTCGGTGAATGAGACTAATAAACTCAGTGAATGTCCTTGAGTGGCCCAGCCAGAGCCCAGACCTTAATCCTATTGAACATCTCTGGAGAGATCTGAAAATGGCTGTACACAGTCGCTTCCCATCCAACCTGATAAAGTTGATAGGTACTGCAAAGAGAAACTGGCAAAAATTCCCAAATACAGGTGTGCCAAGCTTGTGGCAGCATATTCAAAAAGACTTAAGGCTGTAATTGCAAAATGTAATTGTAATATGCAAATGCTGTGAATACTTATGTACATGTGATTCTTCAAGCTTTTTTATTTGTAATAAATTTGCAACAATTTCAAAAAATCTTTTTTTTTTCTACATTGTCATTACGGGGTATTGTGTGTATAATTTTAAGTAAATAAATTATTTATTCCATTTTGGAATTAGGCTGTAACATAAAAAATGTGGAATAAGTGAAGCGCTATAAATACTTTCTGGATGCACTGTAATCATTGTGTCTATGTAATATCACTTTTTTCTGTGAGATGCTGATGGTCTAATCCAATTCAATGATTTATGCTAAGCTAAGCTAAAAGTGCTTTAGTCAGACAGAGATCGGCTGACTGCAACAATAGTAAAACTCTTTACTGTTTACCTCTAGGGGACTTGTAAAAAGAGACTAATTCCAAAAAATGTAAAGTGCTTCTTTAAGGTAAAGTGGAAAGTCATAAAGACATAAAAACATTTCTTAACTTCTTTTTTAGCAGTTACAACACTATGCTAGCATACTGACAATATTTGTAACATTTTTAACACAACAACGTGTGTTTAACTTTACTTATTATGCTGCTAACACATTTTATATGATGCTATTATGTTTTAACATGTTGGCCAATATGGTGAAAATATGAATTTGCATGTTGTAAACTTTTCTAGCTTGTTGCTAACATTGATTAACATTGTTAATTGCTAACTATGTTAGCTAACGTTGCTAACATTGATTGTCTTGGAAATTTGCTGTACAATTGTTTACGCACGTTTTGACACTGTTCATAATGAGATCAATGTGCTGTATATTTTTACCTTTTGAGAGCCACAAAATCATGAGTAAAAAAAAATTAACCCAACAAACAAAAAAGTGATCAAATCGACTCAATCAATGCTCAATGCTTTGAGAATCATCTATTAGTCACAACTCAAGATAAGCTCCAGAACATCCAAGAGAAAGTAATCTCCCAAAGCTGATAGACTATAATCAGCTGATGTTGTCTGAGTGAGACCTCATTAAAAAATGAATGATGGAGAAACACCCTACTGTCAGTGTTGAGCATCCACCAGGAATGTTACCCAATCCCTTGCAGTATTAATGAGCAAGCACATAGCAGCACGACTAAGATGAAACGGTTTTTCCACTGGGTTGCGGTGACATAAGAAGGTGCTGAGCTCACCTGACTGGCAGCACCACCTGTGGCAGCAGACGATTCAGCGCCAAGGGGTCCCAGCAGGTGAGACGGCCTTTCCACTGGAGAGTTCCTGCGTCGATAGAACAGCACATAGGCGTAACGCGTCACCACCTGACTTTCCTCCACCGTCGTGACTGTGCTGTCATCAAACAAACGCCAGCCTGAAATAGCAGAAGACATGCAGAAATAGGCATTACATGACAGCCAATGAGATGTTTTGAATTCAGAAGAGCTCAGACGTACCAACATCACTAAGCTGGCTGTTCTTGTCGCTGGGAAGGCGAGCATAGGCTGTGTAGTGTCCTCCAATCATTCCACCATAATGGTTGATGACAGCGTACAGATCATAGATTGGCGGCTGCTGGATGTCACCCTTATGACCAATACAAAACTTACTCAAGTCCAAGTTTCTAATAAGAAAAGGAAATTAAACAGGTTAAACATTATAACATTATTAGGTGGTTAATTCAAATTATAGAACACACAAAACTAGGGAGTGACTATGATAATATTGCAATGGTGTTTTAATGATGTGTGAGCTGACATTATCCCGTATAACTTTGAAAAATAGATCATTTGAATGAATTATTCAGTGTAAGTTTAAGAAACATATTTACATGACAGGCATAAAGCAGCTAAATTTGGGATTTCGACTCTAAGCCAAATATCAAATTCTCTGGCTTTTCGGTTTGTTTCACTGACTTGAAAGCCGAATTACCATAACCTATAATGAATAGAAAACCAGTCAGCCATTCTGAGATTACTGAATTTAATCCAAAATCAAGTAAATGGCACAACATGTAGAGGAGCTTGTCATTTTTTACCTGATGCGGATTTTGACCAGCCAGGACACCGGTAAGATTTCTGCTGTGCCATATGCATTGTTATATATTAAATAACATTATATTCACGAATTGAAAGTGCAAATCTGGTGTGCTATATCTTGAGTTTTCATAGACATGGCACAACACTGCACTTCTCCTTAGGTCAGTGACTATGTATCATGTGACTTTATCACAACACTCATTCGGGCAAAGCCTATCTGAATAAAGCTACATTTGATGTATAATTCACAATTAGTTTTACATTTTAACATGCTTTTACTATTGCTAGATTTTAAGAGCCATTTATGTATCAAATAGGATTTAGTAGGCTTCAAATGGTTAAGAGGTAAATGCTTTCACTCTTTGTTTCTCTCAGTGATTTCTTTATATAAATTACAAAGACCAATTGTCAAAAAAGTTATAAGAACTATAATGTCTATATTTTCACAGCAAAACAAGAACTGACACAAATATTGCTGGACATTTTGAAAAACGCCACTGTAAATCTAAATTTTAAGATGCAAAATTAAAGAGGGACTGGGTAAGCACTGAGTAGACAAGACACAAGCACTGACTGTGTTTGAACAGGTACAGACTGGTGACTGCATTTGATTAACAGGTGGTAAGTGGGAAAGGAATTAAATGGCAGTGAAAAATAGCCTAACCATAATAATAGGTTAAACACGTGAAACAATGTCATAAAAATACATTATAGAAAAAAAAAGTATTATATTATATTAGACCTTTTAACAGACCCCCTAATTTTTCGTGCGTATGCCATCGCTGAATCTAACGCAAAATCAAGTTGCCATATTGATAAATAAGACAGTTCACTTTTCTAAGTACAATGTTATTTCTGTCGTGAATAGTAGATACTTAATTGTGAAAGGGAAAATTTAAGCATTCAAACACCAGTGCAAGTGAAAGTCTACGAAACTTTGAGTAACTTTCAGTATACCTGACTGGAAAATCGACCATGTCATTAATCTTGTCCCTCCATATGAAACTCCTAAATGAGAAGCGCTTGAGCTGGATGATGAGTACATTCGGAAGACGCCAAAGTAGGAGCTGTTTAGAGGCCTCTCTGTGCTGCTGACACTTAGGACAGTACCTGAATAAGAAAAATAAATATGACCACACATACAGTTTTATTTGAACACTTTCTATGGGCACTCTGAGTGCGTGTTCATACCATGCCTCCTCAGGGGCTAGGACCTCAGGTTTGGTAAAGAGGTTGAGGCACTGCTCTAAGGTGAAGTGTCCTGCCCTGGAGGTCTCGGTAGCAGAGCCCGGGTCCTCATCAAACTCCAGATCTTTAGAGCGCACCAGCACATATTCCTTCTGCCGCTCGTTGTTCTTCCACACCAGCTCTAGTGTGCACTCATCAGGCAGCTCCAGTACCGCGTCACCTGCAGGAGACAAAAAGATGGTAAAAACACACAATAAGGTTTGGTACTGAAACCCAGAGCCAATAAGGCAGAATCAGAACACAAACTTTGGAGCAGAAATGATTGAATTTGATGCCTAAAACTTAAAAATAGTTTAAAATATGTGGTGGTTCAAATGACAATAAATGCCAAACAAATCACAATACAACTGGCATAGCAGTTTTTATGAACAAATTCCTCAAGAAAATGACTTCCTTCAGAAGAGCTAATGTGGTATTTTCTTTTCTTCTCATCCCTGAATGATACATATTAAAGTTCTGTTTGAAAGTGCAGCACTGCTTTATTTAGGGGAAGTAACCCTGGAAACATTATTTTATAGCTATTGAGAAGTTCAACCTGCTTGTAGAGAGTAAAATCTGCTTTTTGCTTCAGAATTTTGAGGTTAGAGGACATTGTAGTCGTTTTTTGTTGACTGTTCCTTTAAATGCAAATAAGCAGGATCTCCCCACCCACTCATCCCACATGCGTGCGTCACATCAGATAAACAGCAGTCAGTGAAATAAGCTTATTTAATGTTTTTGTTAGGGAGTTTATTCAAGCATTTTAGCAACGATGAGTTACATAAATGCTGTTACAAACACACGTACACACAAATACACACGTTTAACGTGCACTGTTTTTGCACGTCTACTTGCAGCAAATGTGGACATCCATTATGCTACTGTACAAAAAGGATGTAACATCCACAAACCAGGACTCCTGTTGTGTGTTTGTATCCTTGTTTATATCCTTGTATAACCTGGGGTCCGTTCTTCGTACCTCGCTTAAATGATCTAAGATTATTTGGCAGATCCTGGATCTTTTAATCTTGATAACTGATCTCTCGCTAATTTGGTTCTTCAAACAAGTTCGCGAATCAGATTAGAATGTCTGGATGAACTGATCTGAGATCGCTGCGTGTGTTATGAAGGACAGATCTATCGATCCTCGAAATCATGATCAGCAATGCAACGATTGGCTGACGGCACAGCAGCGTAATGACATCATCTGATTAATATTCAATTATCCATGTGAGCAAAATTACATCAAATTAGCAGTAAACGGCTTGTTAAATATGACACGCAAGAACTTTCCACATTTGTTGTGAGCTGCAGGCTTTACACTTTCATTTGTCAAGACAAGAGTATTCATCTTGTATTTCAATGCAAATCAGTGTATTTAGTTCTACATTTAGAAAAGATTTTCTTTATTATTGTAGCCGTTTTTTAATCGGTGTAAAGAATAACTGGTTGTTTACAAAAGCATTTTCGTATTGGTAAAGGCGTCTGCAACTTTTGTGAAGCTTCAAATGTCACCCTGCAGCCCAAGACCGGTTACTCACTGAAGCTAAGCAGGGCTGAGCCTGGTCAGTACCTGGATGGGAGACCACTAGGGAACACTAGGTTGCTGTTGGAAGTGGTGTTAGTGAGGCCAGCAGGGGGCGCTCAACCTGTGGTCTGTGTGAGTCCTAATGCCCCAGTAAAAGTGAAGGGGACACTACACTGTCAGTGGGCGCCGTCTTTCGGATGAGACGTTAAACCGAGGTCCTGACTCTCTGTGGTCATTAAAAATCCCAAGGCACTTCTCGTGAAAGAGCAGGGGTGTAACCCCGGTGTCCTGGCCAAAGTCCCTCTATCGGCCCTTACAATCATCCCCTCTCCACCGAATTGGCTCTATCACTGTCCCTCCACTCCACCAATAGCTGGTGTGTGGTGAGCGCACTGGCGCCGTTGTCCTGTGGCAGCCGTCGCATCATCCAAGTGGATGCTGCACACTGGTGGTGGTGTGGAGAGACCCCCCCTCATGATTGTGAAGCGCTTTGGGTGTATGGCCATACACAATAAATGCGCTATATAAATACACATTACATTACATTACATTTACATTACATTACATTACATTCAAATCACTGGCATATTAACAAAACATGTTTATGACTGCATAAATGTATTATTGCTTTAAAAAAAGTCACATATTGTGCATTTCTATTATACACAATTTGTACTAAAGCGATCTAAAAAGTTAATATCAATAAGTTTTCTCTTTGCACCAGGTGGCAGTCTTTGTACTTTCATTTCGAGAGTGCAGATTGTATAGCCTACGTTTTATTAATATGTATAACTTTATTTATTTTATTAATGACTATAACTTTATATATATAGTTAAAAAATATGTACCATTTTCCCAAGTCTATATAACTACTACTGTAAGAAAATATCAGAATTCAGAACATACTTTCTGTATTATCTTTGCTTGAACTGAGCCGATCTAATCCTGTTTATATGAATTGAACCTGCTCCCGATCAGGTTTGACCTAGCAGAAATGTTGCCATGACATCAATTCTCGGATCAGCTTTGAAGAACGAAACGATCCTGGATCATGTCAAATCGTCAATATCCAAATCCAGCTAACTGAGTAATCCACGTACGAAGAACGGACCCCTTGTTTATATCCTTGAATATAGTTGTACTAAAACTGTGCGTTTTTGTATTAAACATTACGTTTTTACGTTTTACATTAACGGTTTTAAAACTGTTTAAAATTCATTCTTGGGGTGCAGCTGATCATAGAGAGTTGAACAGATCTTTTAATCCCAGATTTTTTTGAAAATCCTGTCCTGTGGACATGTTTGTATGTGCTACTACATAGACATGTTAATACACTCCTGTCAATTAGTTTGGTAGGTGGAAAAAAAACATACTCCTGCATCCCATAGTGGAGGTCCTCAAAAATCTCTAAGAACTAAATCCTATTTTAACGTAAGGAAATAAAACAATAAATAAAAAAAAGAGACTTTTTACACACAGTTCTGTCTAAACAGCTTCCAAAATTTTATTTGGTATCATAGGTGCCCTTTAAATATATATTTTTCCATATAGTATCAGTTCAGGCACTAACCCCAAACATTTTACAAAACAAAACAAAACCTCTGACTGACCTTTCTCTTCAAGTTTTTTGTCTTCCTTTTGGCTCGAGTCCAGAATAGTGATGTAAAATTGAGATGCACCTCCACTCGCCGACTCAGAAGGCTGTTGATACCCAGTTACTACAGCTGCCAATAAACAAACAATGATGAACTATAACACCACACAACAACAAAGACCTGAGTGAAGAGCCTTAGACCAACTAACCTTCTGGTTTAACAGCCTTTTCACATGACGTTTCTTTCTCCAGCAGAGAATCATGGGAGCTGGAGGCGAGCTCACAGCAACCAGAGTCAGTGGTATGTGTGGAGAGAGTGTCTCCTCCATCTGCTGCACTCTCCGTTTGTGAGGCTGTGACAGATTCATCCTGCTCTGCTGGGTTTTCTGGGTCACCTGCTGATGGCAGGTCCTTCTCTTGACACTCTGGGACGCTGCTCGCCATGGAAGTCAGGTCAACACGGGACAGACTGGACTCAGGGGACGTCCGACCTGACTGGAAAGGTGGCTGGAACACATTGACAGAGTACCTGCACACAGAACTCAAGACTCAAACAGGGCTACTACTTCATAGCTTTTAAATGATTTTTTTAGGTCACCATAGGTTAAAGACCTAAAATTAATCCACACAAAATATTCAAGGCTACAAAAAAAAAAAAAAAAAGTAAAATTACATCATATTCTACAAAATTACAGTAAAAAAGTTAAATACATACTTCTATAGGACAATCCTACATGAATGAGTATATATAATATAAAACTGATTAAAATTGTTATTAAATAAATAAAAAGTAGCTTATAACACTATTAAAACAAAGATGTTATAAAAATACTTTTAAAAATAGCTTATAAAATGATTATGATAGGATAATAATAAAAATATATGCTTTCTAAATAAAAAACCTACACAAAATTGGCACAAAAATGCATACAATGTATAAAATGTATATAAAACCTTACAATCTATTTATTTAAAAAATAAATAAATGACATACAAATAGACTGACAGATAAAGCAATAAATAAATAAATACTAAAATTTTATCAGTGTTTTAATTATATCTTCATCTAATCCTGACTGAATTACATAGATAGGTAAACAAATCTGAATATAGCTGTAATTATACCTAGAGTAGCCTTCTAGAAGCTGTGTGAGGCGAGTGTAAGAAAGTCTAGACTCAGGCACGCTGATTAAAAATGGCTGTCCAATGTTTTCCACATTAGACCGACACATAGTCTTGTGAGAAGGCCAGTGGTTCTTCTGGCAGGTCCTGTAATCAGAAAAAATTCTTACTACCAACTACGCCAAAGGCAAAATCTCTAAATCTTATGTGTGATGTCAAAGCCAGAACAACACACAACTCACTGATTGCAGTAGCCGACACGATAACAGCGTGTGCAGCGCTTCAGCTTCTCATCGTCAGAGGCAGGAGGCTTCAGACAACCAGCGCACTTTGTGATTGGTATGCTAGGAATCTGAGGTCTCTGAAGATAAAAAAACACATGATTATAGCAAGAAAAAAGGCAAATGCTAACAAAAATCGGCAATAGTTAAGGGAAGAAAGTAAGAGCGGTGTAAATGGCGTACCTGCTGGACCTTCAGCAACACCACTCTCTCTTTGATGAGATCTTTTGACAGCATCTCAAAGCAGAAGAGCAGGTCACTGGACGAGACCGTGTCTAAAGATTGAGACGGTGAGAAGATTCTGTGGAACCTGCCCTTCACAACCTGAGGGGAAAAAACAACAAAACATAAATTAGAGAGTATAGAACTTTTCAATGACACACAACTAAAGCACTGTAAATATGGCTGCCAAAAAAATTTGATCATACTCTAATTCTAAAGGCAATACTTAAAGGGATAGTTCACCCAAAACAGAAAATTCAAGCATTGTTTACCAAGCCTTCACCTGCCACAAACTTGTTTGCAATTTTTATTCTGAAAATTGTTTGAAAACTCTGACCATAATTATTTCCTAAGTATTTGTTTTTCCCAGTATGGACGTCAATGGTTACATGATTTTAAAGGAGGCTGCACACCGGATGTGCCACTCATATGGAAGTAAGGCATGCATTCAAATGTTATTTCATATGAAGCTATGCAAATGGCTCTATGACGCGGCAGAAATATAAACTGTCCTGAGTAGTAGCTGGGTGCTGCAGAAAGCTGTAGACTTGCGGCTCCGGTGTGCATACCCTGATAGAAATCTATGTTTAGAATTTTAAACTGCATAACGCTGCATGGCACATCCGGTGTGCGACCACCTTAACATCTTTAAAAATATCTTCTTTTGTGCTCAACAGAAAAATTTTACTCATAAAGGTTTGGAAACACTCGAGGGTGAGTAAATATAAAATTTTTGAATGAACTATCCCTTTAATGTTACGGGAAAAAGTATTCTATTGCATTGCGTATTTTATTGAAATGAAATTACACTTTTTTTTTAAGTTTAACATTTCAAACAAATGTTCAAAAAACAAGGTTTTAGAACAGAAAAATAAACATGAAAAAAATACAAAGTCATACACTATAAACATTTTATTATGAACTTTAACCCTAAATGTTGAAAATGCATTACACAAGTGATAATATATTTTAGCTGCTCTACATTGGCTTAATTTTGGCACTGTTTGGTTGACAGATCATGTACTGATAATTTGTCAATGACAATGGGTGTCAACTTTTTTGTTTTATAGTGCATCAAGACAGTTAATGTCATAAAATAGATGCTTCACAATATCAAATATCAATAATATATGCATATTTAATTATTTTTCATTCCTCCACCACAGTTCCACCACCTTTTGATGTTAAACAGCAGAAGTACAACTTGTACAGACAATGATATTGGTGTAGTAGCAGGTCCACATTTTTCCTTTTCTTTTATATGGCAAATATAAGTCAGAACAGAACCCCACTCAGAGCAGTATCATCATACCTCTGTCAGCCTCAGGTTCTCTGGTTTGATCCTCACGCTGCGAGATATTGACTCCAGTACTTCAGCCGTGCTTGAGCTCTCTTTACTCACACTAACCAAGAACTACACAACCAAAAATATTCATCATTAACAAACAAGAATGTCCATGCAAATAAAGCTTTCTTGGGCACTACAGAAAGTTGTTTTTACCTTGACTGGTTTCTTGTGAGGCTCTTTAGCAAAATAGAAAACAGTCAGCACCTTCTGCTTCTGAGGTAGAGGGACTGGCAAGTACAAGAATGGATCAAAGGTTATGGAAACCTGAAAAAAGAAAAGATATATAAATTAATATGCTTACTTCTAAGAGAGTGAAAATCGTAATTATCTCCCAAACATTTTAAAAAAGGAATGATTCTTTTACAAAGTAAATGATTTAAAGTGGGTCCAAGCATGGAAAGTGTAGACAGTTTTTAAAACTTTTTAAATTAGAACTGTTTTAAAGTTTGGGGTCATTGCTTAATATATACTTTCTGACAGAAATATTTTATTGTTGATTTTATTCTTTAATGAAGACATTTTTACATTTTGCCAAAACATTTCCATTTCAAATTAACTGTTTTCTTTACCATTAATCATACTGAAAGGAAATGCATAATTCTTTCAAAAATATCAACATTATTCAACAAAATTGTTGCAACATTCATGAGCATTTCTGCAACATTCATAAGCATTTTTTAAAATCATAGTAGCCTCAATGAGCGCAAAAGACTACAAATATCTGAATGGGAATCTGAATTAGAATCATACTGTAGCTCATTTTGACATGAAATACCTTGGAGCACATTGGACACACCAGCTTTGACTTGTACTGGCCTTGAAAGAGGTCAACAATGAAGGAATCGTTTCTCATTTTATGCCTCTGCCATGCCTCTTCTGCAACAACCTACCAAAACACAAACAAAAACAACTTTCAGCAGATTTATTATCATGAAAAAAGGAATTCACAACATAGAGCTGATTTTGCTTAATAATAATAAAAAAATTAAAGAATATCATAGTTGTTTGTAACTGAATGCAAAATATTTAATTATTCACTTTACAATAGGGTTTCCTTGGATAATGTTAATGCATTTATTAATATCAAAAATAATGAACAATACTTGTACAGGATTTATTAATCATAGTTCAAAATTTACTATCCATATTCAAGCTTTTTAACATTAGTTAATGCAATAAGTTAACATGAACTAACAATGAACAACTTTATCAGCTAACATGAACAAAGATGTCATTGTTCATCGTTTGTTTATTTTAATAAATACATTAACTAACATTAACTAATATAAACTTACTCCCCAATTGTATAAGTGTTACCAAAAAATGTATACAATTAAAAAAAATCAAGTGATTTACATATTTTTTTGCTTATGTAATGTTATGTAGAATTGTTTTTAAAAGCTCACTTCATCCTGACGGCCGTCTGAGTCCACAGTCTCGGTGTATGGTTTGTTTTGGATGCGGTTCAGGTCTTCATGAAGACCATCCAGCAAAAAAGCCATAAACTCCTGAGCATCATGCTGCGCATAACCTGTAAACTGACTGGCTTTACTGGCAACGATAGCCTAGAAAGAGAAATGAAGAAACAACCATTTATAATGTGTAATTAACATAACTTAAAGATGCAGTATAGGAGAAGAATCTAAAAATACCTTTAATTTGGAGGGTTGAAAAGCATGATGAGTGCCCTTCCACAGCGCCCGTAGCAGAACAGCAAAGCCAATGGCCAGCCGTCCACCCGTGCCCAATGGGTTATTACAATTAATCTCTGACTCAAAACCTCGATCTGAAAACACACACGTCTTAATAAACTTAAGACACATAGGCATATGAAAAAATGTAATATTCTGTAGAAAATGTAACTGACCATGGAAATAATCCCTGAGCTCCCGTGTGTTGGAGAGGGACTGGATCACACTGTTCATAAAGCAAGTGTTTCCCAGATTGACCAGTCCAGTGAAGCCAGGGTGACATACTTTTTTCTCCTCCACCTCTTCTGATCTCTCATTGCCTACCGGAGGAGTGTGGGTCATGGGCTGCACCATGCAGGTGGGTTTGGGCTGTGGACAGTTGGCATAGGAAGCCTAATAAGAACCTATTCACTTCAGTTTCTGGGTGCAAATGCTCTATCAGATGCCATAAGAGAACAGTAAACTGTACATTTACGCTCACATTGTGCTGAGATACTACTAAAAAAATCATGAATGTAATGTTTATACTCGGGTCTAATCTCAGAAGACACCAGTTGCTATCTGTAGCAAGTCCAGAGATTGTAGTAAAGATTTGCTTTATTATGTGATATGACTAAACAGTGGTCATAAATGGCTATTTATTCACGCAGGTGAGTGGGCTGGACAAACCACCTGTGGGAAACACTCTTTCTTCTCAATATGCACCAGACACTTCCTATATAGTTTTGCATACATCTAAAACTTTACAAGTGGACAGTACTGAGAACAGTATTGGCTCAAGATATGTGACAAACAGACGATGCATGCATTATTACCGTGGCAACAGCAGGTTCTTGTTTGAGGGACACATGTTCGGAAACTGAGCGTGGGGACACAGCATCCAAACCAGAGTCCTCTGGGGCTCTAGGGGGTTTGGGTTTCTCCTCTCCAACCCGTGGTTCTTCTTTTGCAGGAAGTGCATGCTGGCTGCTTCCTGGCTGACTCTTTTCAAGTGTAGAAGGGCTGGAGGCCACAGCAACCTTGGCGCCCCCCACTGCACCTTAAACAGGACAACAGAGCTTGTGGTTAGCAGCTTAAAGTTATATTATATGCTTTTACTGACAATTCAATGCATTTGATGACCTTAAAATTAGAATAATATTTGCAGAATTACACTCTATATGGGTAGAGTGTCTGTGCGGCTTCATCATAAATCAATCTAATGTTCTGCTGTGTATGTGTGGTTGTCAATCATAGCATGTTACTTTGAGACTCTACATCTTGACCTAAATAAGCATTTTTACTAGTTAATGTGATCTTAACAAATAGCATACAATGTTTCCTCTAGGATTTTTTTTTCAGCTGTGGCGGCAGGCCTTTTACACAGATCTACCAATTACCTATGGCTTTATTTCAATGAAAAATCTCGTTAGCGCAGTATTACAAGTCAAAATCACGTTTATGTAATACAAGCATGTATTAGATTTGCATTTATTAGATTTGCTAGGAATATTTATGAATGTCTCCAATAGACCTAGAGAGCGGCATTAAAGCTTCCTGAAGTGAAACGGCTATAAACACCAGCAAGATAAAGTCATTGTATGCAGAACCATAGATCTTTATTCTATAAAGTATAATTGTAGAAACATGTCAAGATGTCACCTTAAAGTGTTAAACAAATAACACACAGCACTACTACGTTTACAGAAAAGATTGTACTGTTATAATACACTTACAGGGCTCGAAATTGCGACCATTTTGGTCGCATATGCGCCCGAAATTTTATCTATGCGACATTGAAATATATTTGGGAGCATTTCTGCGAGTGTTTAAAATTATAGTGTGCGACCAATTTTTACTGCAAAATGTTCAGCACATGCGCGGATTCGGGAGACATTCACGCAGGATGCATCTCTAAGCTCTTTGTCTGCACTTGAAACGCAGCGCTCAGGAATGGTTTAAAACAGTTGTCATGTCGACTTACTGCAGTAAACAAATCCAAGTCCGTAATGCTTGCCCCCCCTTCGCGCTCTTCTTATTGGGCCACCACTGCTCTAGCACTGAACGCGAATGATTGGTTAATATCAGCTGTCAATCACTCAGCGCCTTCTGGCTTCGGATGACAGAGAGCTACTAACGCGAAAAATTGTAAAGCGCTGAAGATGAGGATGAAGATAACATAACACTTGACAGATTTTGTTTTAGAAACCATGGCATCTACAGTTACAAATAATGCCTCATCTTACTAGTTATACCGTTAACACATTAATTCAAGCAGTGCGTGCAGGGCCGGTGAGCGCTCCGTGTATGCTTTGGTTACTCAGTTATGTTATAAAAATCTATTTTCTTGTGATAACGGGATTTTGTTGAGACATATTTTCCTCACGCTTGCATATAACGTTATATATGATTTTTTTTTTGCATGTTAGTTTGATTAGTGTTGATTTCAAATACAATCAATATGTTTGTATAAAACTTGTAGTAACGGTGCTCATAATTGGTGGGTGCGACTAAATTTTGGCTGATGCGCCTACATTTTTAAAGTTAGGAGCACCGGTGCAACCAAGCAAAAAGGTTAATTTCGAGCCCTGACTTACCTTTCAATATGTTTTGGTGCAATTATAATCCGCTATAAAAAAACAAACCAAAACTAAATGTTTTGAATGAGAAGCTGTAATGTAGCCGTGACGGAATGAATTTTGGTGTGGCGCTCCGCCACGGAAGAATGAATGTAGTGGAAACCATGGCAAACCATCTACCACTTTTGGTCTGACAAACGGAGCGAAAAATGTATTACAATAAACCACACTAAGTGCATATGGTTATTGAATCTGAAGATCACAAATTTGCTTATATCACACCAAGACTGACCTCTGACACATTTTGCATGTATAAAGACACAAAGTAATGGTGCATGGATGAACAGCAACACCCATATTTCCAGCAGAAACCAACCAGTACAACTCAAATGCTAAAATATTATTACCATTTTAAAATGTTTGTAAAAAATTTGACCTCACCTTACATGCACTTCATATGCTACAATTTAAATGGAAATATATTTAACCAGATAGTTCATTTAAAAATGCTACCTGAATCGAGATAAATCTATGTTTTTTTATTTGATTATTAATAAAAAAAGGGGAATCAGTCAGACAACCTTAAAAAATACAAACAAATTCTCTCATTTCGCAACTGAATCTGAAATGTGTACAATCAGTTTGTGTAGAGCTAGACAATCCTTTTATTCTTTAAAAATAATTATAAGAAACAAAACAGCAAACTTAAATAAAGGGATTGACAAAATATTTAATTAAAAGACTGAGGCTGTGTAGAGCAGCAGTTTGGGTCAGCAGGCTGGCACTGACACAAGAACACATTGGCACATTTGGCTTGACCCCCTCTCACACTCATATTGAGTTACTAGATCACTCCCTGTAGTCACATTCCTCATTAGGTGCCCTAATTTCAACATGTAAACAAAAACAGTACTACTTCGTCCACTGTAATAATAAGACCTGCGCAATAAGAAAAAATATATGAATGTTAAGGATTTCTGGCTGAAATGTTTTTGTAAATAGTTAAAAAACATCATTAATGTAGTATTCTTTTAATTTCTTAATTTTCTTTTTATTCTTATAATTTTCTGATTCAATATGTTTCTATTTCAATTGTAGTGAAAAATTCCTTAAACATCAGTCAGAAAGGGGGGAAAAAAAGAAAAAGGATGACTAATAATTTTGACTTCAACTCTAGTGAGCAGTGTTATGTTTGATTAGATATTCTGTTTTTTTATTAAACATATCATATACCAAAGTGTACCAAAACCTTGACCTTAAAACCAAACCATGAGAAGTCTGTATTGCTACTCACCTAATGAACTGACTATACATAAGGGCAAGGTTATCAAAAATGATGTACACAACATGATTGCGTGTTTGCATTAATAAAAACTGCTCAGAAGCAAACAGAATCCAAGCAGCAGACCTTGTGTGGCAGGGGCCTCCAGACCCCCCCAGCGCTGACTGTGTCTCTTCTTCAGGGTGATGTCGATACGGGACGGAGTGAAGGCGTAGTTGGACTGATCGGGCTGAATTAGATTCCTGAAACATTGGCAAACAGGATCAATGATGAAACCCATTAAGGCACTGAGATTATCAGATTAGGATGGCCATCTGAAAAGCTTACCTGAGTTTAACCTGCCATTTAAAGACAGTGTTTGGTCCGCAATCCGAATGAAGGCGCAAAAAGTTGGGATCACTGTGGACAGTAGCGTTAATGAGTGAAAATGTAATGAGTTGAACTTTTGAAAACTTGTGTGTGGAGAAGTGTGTCTCACCTGGTCTGGAAGATAAGAGTGAAGTCTTGTTCCCTGAACAGCACCCTGGACGTCTGCCGGCAGATTTCTTTCATGTAGACATTCACAACCATCAGATCTGTTCCCTTCTCATACGAGTCATTCTTCACAAACTTCAAGTCCACCATTGGCTCCGGACCTTAAAATACATAAAGTCACAAGAAAAAAATATATGTAAAGCACATACATTTACATTCAAATATTTAGATTTAAGTCTCCAATTAATTTCAATGTTATATTTCTAACAAAATACTAACAAATACTAACAATAAAAAAGCTATAAAATATAGTAGGTCTAAAATTATTACACTTTTTAAAAATGTGTTTTACACTGAAATATTTTAACTTAAAATATTTGCTTTTTCAATTTAAATACATTTCATTTTAAAACAGCAATTTATCCTAATATGCTGATACTTCTTTGCTGCTTATGAAAGATTTTGTATTAATGCTAAAGAGACTTGTGCAGTCTAATATTTTTGAAAAACAAAGTACTGTTTAAAGCATTTAAAGCATCAAAAAAAAAAAAACTTTTTAATATTTTCTTTCAATATTTTTCAGTGAACAGTGTTCTAAAGAATTTTAAGCATCAAAAACATTTATACAATATAGCAGATGCCAAATGTGTTCTTAAATAGCTGGTTTACTTCATCATTTACTCAACCTCAATACAATACTGTTCTTAACACATTGAAAAATTTTGCAAAAATTTGTAATGAAAAAATTTTTTTTCACATGAATCAAGTGGTTATTTTCATATGAACTTTGATCAACAAACAAAGCTTACAGCACTCATATTTGCTCTTGGTAGCACAAGAATGCTTGCTTGCCATACAAAAACTAATGAGGATCACTAATATTTTTATTAGGGCCAGACAGAATCTGTAGACATTTTGTTCCTATTTCTGCACAGAATTTACTGAAAAAAAAACTGTGAATGTATGCATGCATAGATTTACGGAGTGTAACTAAAAACTTACTATATAATATAAAAAGTAATACCTTTCTAACTTTTATTTAATGTTTACAGAACAAATCCACTTGTGTCCACTTATTTGGGAAACAAAGCAAGTCTCTCATATAATATATCAACTAAAAGACAGAAAATATTACTTTACAAACTGAATTGTAAACAAATCATATTAACATTTTCGTATTAGTCAAGATTATGGAAATAATTAACTTAATAAATATACATTTACACATGTAAATAAATAGACTCAATGATGGGCAGATTTCTGCATGCGCAGATTCCATGTAGGCCTACTTATGAGTTTGGAATGACATTTGGGTGGGAGCTGGTCGTTTTGGGATGAACTATGCCTTTAACTGACCTTCCGTATCCTCCTCTTGGCTTGCTCCTTGTGGCTCCTCTTTGGACTTGTCCCTCTTCTCCTCTGTGTGGCTCTTTTGTGGAGACTCCTCTCTTTTGGAGTCTGTTGATGCAGGCTCTCCAGATCCCAAGTCATGAGAGGGAAGCATTTTAGGGATGTGGCCTTCAGCCTGTGGCTTCGTTTCCTCCTTTCTGTTTTCTGGCTCATCAGACGCTATTTTATCAGTGCATGTTTTTACAGGAGTAGAATGGTCTTTTTGCGGTACCTGCGGCTCACACACAGAGACGCTCTTGCTTTCCCCTGATCCAACCTATAAACAACACCAAGACAAACAGGATTTCAGAGAATTTTTTCATGATTTTATTTGCAGATTACTATTATTAGCTTACCTGAGCATTGCTCTTTGGCTTCCTGTCAATCCCTTTTTCTTTTTGCAATGCCTGGCATCCTTGAGGTTTGCCCTGCATCTGAGCCCTGTTGTCTTTTGCATTGCTTGATGAAGAGGCACCGCTGTTAACCTCTGATGTGTGCGTCTTCCCATTAACTGTTGCTTTGGACTTCGACTCGTTTCCCAAGCAGGGAGCTAGGGGGGGCTCCTTTGTGTTTTTAGAGGGCCGCGTGGTGCGCTTTGCACTGGGCTCATTGATCGAGTCTGCTTTATCGCTTGATTTAATCTCTGGCGTTTTTTCTCCTGTGCTCTTAGTGACGTGCACCTGCTTGCCTTTCATCCCTCGTTTCAGCCCTCGGTCAGGTTTACCTCGTTTCTGCTCAGCAGAGCTCACTGGGGGCGTTTTCTCAATGGCTTCGCTAGATTTTTCAGACCGTCCTGTGCTTGACTGGTAGTTGTTGCTTCCATTTTTTTGAAGAATGTTCACTGGTTCTGACTTTTTCTTGTTTGATAGGGGAATTAAAAATAAATAAAGCTTAGTTAAAAGGACCTCTGACTATGCAAACATTCATGAACACTCAAAGCTGCATGCAGATTGGAAAAGAAGAACATTTTAACAATAAAAAAGCTGATTAGTTAATAAATAATTAGCAACTGATTAGTTTACAAAATGCTGCAGAATTTGTTATGACAGATGTCTCAGCCCAACAGAAATCCATTTAGCTTGGCAAAAAAAAATATATATATATATATTTTAAGAGCCTTTTTTTAAAAAGCGTTTAGGAAGTGGACAACAGGAGACTGACAGTGAGCAGATGTTCTTACAGCGTAGGCGGGCCAGGTGTTGAGCGGGATCTTCTTGTGCATGACAAGCTGCAGGACATTCGATTTCTCCTTATAATTCAATTTACTGCAGGAGGCTTCAATCTCTTCATGGAGATGACAGCTCCATTCACGTCCATCTAAGAAAACAGAAAGATCACAGGATATACTCTACTATTCAAAGGTTTGGGGTCGGTAAGAAGATTTTTTTTTGCTGTTGTTCTGTATAATTTTCTTGTTCACTAGCATGATCAAAAATACAGTGAAAACAGTACTACTGTGTAAAGTTTACAGCAACTTAAAATTGCACAAGAAGTTAAAAAGAAAAGCATTAAAGGGATAGTTTACTTAAAAATGGAAATTAACTCCATGTACTCAGCCTTGCATGGTTTCAAACCTTTATGAGTTAGGGTTGTGCCAATAGACGACAAACTTCAAGATGCTGAGCTGGCATCGCAATCCATCGCCCCGCCCCACATTATAATGATATATAACTTCTTATTTGCATGTCAGCTTAATAGCAATAATGGTCTTTTCATGAGCTGTGTTAAATGTTACATATAGCTACCACTTGCACGGCTGACAGCATCGTGAGGAATAAATGAAGGATTATACAGCACCTCTCGCGCTCAAAATGTGTGCATTCAATGGCAAATGCTGTTACCTGCAAATCCTATCCCACAGACTTTACAGGGAATGGCTTTAGTTATTTTCATAGCAGACTTGAAACAATGATCTTATATCCACTCTTGGAAAAGTGTAAATGGTGGATTAACATTCAGCACATGATCACTAATAGGATGTGCCATTATAAGTAACTTTAGGTAAATCTGTCAGTGTTATATTCTCTCATTTTCAGCGCTTCACTTTTTCGCTGTTGTAGCTCCTGTTATCTGAAGGCAGAAGGCATTGACTGAGTGATTGATAGGTGATATTAACCAATCATTCACGTTCAGTTCTAGAGCAGTGACCCAATAAGAAGAGCACTAAGGCAGGGCAAGCATTGCAGGCTTTTTTTTTTTTACATCAGCAAGTTCACATAACAACTGTTTAATCTGTTCCCGAGAGCTGCGTTTGGCATTTTTAGGAGCAAAGATGCATTCTGCATAAATGTCTCCTAAATGGGCCACTCGGTGAGGATTTTGCAGTGAAAACTATGAAAATGTATGTACTACAGTGAACTCCAACCAAACTCTCGTCTCCTCCACCAGCTGTGGGAAAAGCCATTATAATGACACAGATCACTCTGCCTACTCTTGCCAGAGTCCCGCGGAAAAAAAGTGATTGACGGGGTCATTTGTTTGTGACTTTATTTATTTATGGTTTGGTTATGGGTAAAGCAAAGACCATGTGGGTCAGGTAGTAAAAACGGCAGGCTACAATTAATTAATTCGTTATGAATTAATTGATATTTAACCACCACCCCCCGCCTATGAGGACGATGGCATCGTCCATCGCGATGTTTCACATTAGACACCGTACGATGCCAAATTGGTCAACATCGCCCAACCCGATTACAGGTTTCTTTTTTCAGTTGAAAACTACAGAAGATATTTTGAAGAAAGCTAAAAACCTGCAGATACTGCCTTCTATAGCAAGGGAAAAAAACTATGGATGTCAATAGTTGTGTTTACTAAAAAAAAAAAAAGTCAAACAGGTTTGAAACAAGTAAAGGGTGAGTAAATTAAGACAGAATTTTCAGTCTTAGGTGAAATATCCCTTTATTTATTCTATTCAAATCTGGTCCAAACATTTGATTAATGATAAAGCCAAAAAAGAGGGACACAAACACACAATGCCCTTACCTGGCAGCCGGATGTGGCAGGCGGAATTTGAAAAGTCATACTCGATATCTTCTACTCTCAGCTCCCCAGCACCTCCACAGTTCAGCCTCACTATCACCTCGTATGCATTCTGCTTCCAGTCCAGAAACAAGTCTACACAGAGAAAAGAACATACACAGTGATTACACTGGTCTCAAACACAGTGAGACACTAATATCAATGAATACAATTAGCTGTGTTTTTCCATGATTTTACAACAAACCTGATTTCATGATAACACCACAAAATCCCTCAGCCGATCATAGCAGAAAGCCAAGCTGCTTTCGATTTCAAATTTCTCTGCTACTAAATTAAACGCAGGTGCATGTTAGAGATCAGGAAAGACCGAGAAAGAAAGAGAGTGTGTTTATCTCGAAGGATCGAGCTGCAGGGTCAAGTGACAGCTAGTCCCGTCACTTTACTCTCTCTCACTGTGACACGCAGATCTAAAAGGTCACCACCAAATTGCAACGCCCCACAGCTGGGCTTTTATTTCACATGATGTCATCTCCTCTCCGCCAGTATCCCATGAGGCTTCTTTGCAGGATGGGGAATCAGCACTACATAGATAGACTCCTACTGTTCGTGCAGGGGTGGTGCACTGCTCTTGCAGAGATGAAATGCAACACTTTGACGAGAGGAAGACAATGGCGTGTTCGTATCGAATGTATGTGGAGAGGCCAATGAGGGCATCGTGTAAATAAAAAGGAGCATAAGTGAAGTCTTCTCATGCATGTGCTGGGTAGAACCACTCCACTGACCTTGACAAAGCCCTTCTTCATTGAAGCTGAGACTCACAGGCTTAGATTACAGCACTTCAGCACTGCAGAAGCAAACAAGCTCAGCAGACCGGACACAGCCTTAGAAACAGGCTGGCACATCGACGCTAAACAAACAATACGCTCATGAACATTTGCCAAACCAACAGTTGCATCAGCTATTGCCAACTGAAAGCTGTTTCTGATGAGGTGAATGTAGGCTTTAGAATGGTTTTCTCTGAAAGGAATGTTGAAGTCAGTGTTAAATGGTGTTTTGACAAACTGTTAAGACCCAAAATGTAATTTCATGTTCTGTAAAATTTTATTTCATGGTTATGTATTGTGCTAATTGTCTCAGATTGTTGGTACTAAGAAAATAACAATGTGACATATAAACTAAAACAAAAAGACATCAAGTAAATGAACAGGGTTTTTTTCAGCAGCAGTAGGTTTGACATTTTAGAATTTCCTACAGCAAATAAACGAAATGTAAAAATAAATGTGTAATAAATAGGGATGCTCCGATCAATCAGCAAGAGATTGGTATCGACCGATATTTACATTTCATTACGTGATTGGTAATCTGGCCGATCTCATGAACCGATCAAAAGTGTTGGTTTATGAGTTTACAAGCAGAGGACATATTAGACGTTAAATCTTTTTACATACAAGAACTGAAAGTACAGTGTTTTGAACAATATTGCAAGTTCATTAAAAGTTAGCTGGAAATATTAGAAAAAATAAAAAAACTAATTATTTTTAACTCGAAAATTTTTAATACAACTTATTATAATAAACGTTTAAATGAAAGTGTATCGGCCGTTCACCATAACAAGGAATTGCTACTCTTTATCAGCTGCAAAAAATTCTGATCAGAGCATTCCTAGTAAAAACACTAATTATGACCTAATTTTTAATAAAAATGCAAACGCAAAGTCTGATCTTCCCTTACTCTTCTGTTTTGTCTTCTATTACAGTATTTGATTAACATTATTAACACAGACAAGCTTATTATATACTGTGATTTTGCGGCCAAATGCACAGATCCAATAAATTTGAGACATTTTTATGTGATAATTTATGTGATGGGCATTTGACAATCATATATTAATTTCACCATATAAAAATATAAATTAGACACACAAAAATAAGATCACACACACACACACACACACACAAAATCTTGACTTGCAATTGCATGTGTACAAGGTGTGGTTTTCTGTGCATTTGCTTCAAGTTTAGTATGTCAGCGGGTGAGCTTTTTTCCACAGCTTATATTTAACATCATATGCATATCTAACTCATGAGTGTACGCTGTCTACAAAGTGGCTTCCTGAACATTTGCTTTATTAGTGTGTCAGTCAGAATAGAACGCTTTTTTCACTTTGTGACACAAGTTTATGTCACTTACAAACCCAATTTAATGCCATATAAACTGCTCTTTATTTTCTTATTCTCACTCCTTCCATTATTCAAAAGTAAGTGGTGTGTAAATAATTTGTAAGTGCAACGGAGACCAAACAATTGACCACATACGTTGGATGTAGGGCTGTGCGATTAATTGAAATCAAATCACAATTTGAAACGCTGCAATTAGCTAATCACTAGAGGCTGTGATATGAAATATATATGTATATTATTTCATTTCTCCCTCCCAGAGAAAATGCGTGACTGCTGCCATCAGTGTGTCCTAAGCTGCGTCCCAAATGGCACACTATACACTATGCACTCATGCACTATGTACTTATGCACTTACACACTCAACAGGATAGTACATGTATGTAGTGGCGTCCCAAATGGCACACTAATGTTTTTTTACTAAACGGAAATTCAAACCGTTTCCCTGATGACGTTTCACAGTTGCCAAATCAGTGAAATAAATGACCGAATTATCAAATAATACCTATCGTGAGTATTGCCACATTCACCATCGGGAGGCAATATAATCACTCTAGTAGGAGAATTTTGCTCTCTCCATCCAAAATAAATAAAGTTATCCAACATGTGCGTCCGATAGCTCCGCCCCTTCCGCTACGCAAGCAAACCTGCGGTCGTTGAGTGCGTGAAGTGTCCATCATTACACACTTCATTTTAGCGACTGAATGAGTGCATCATCCGGGTAATTAAAGTGCACTTATTATTTTAAGAGTTTTCAGTGTAAACACACTACTTACACTATTTATACTACAAAATGGCGTAGAATAGTGCATAAGTATGCGATTTGGGACGCAGCTCTAGTCTTACTAGCCAATTGAGTGAGCACACTTTCGTTCTGCCCAATCAGAAGTGCGGAGCAACCACAATAAAAAAAACAAAAAAACAAATGCAGACAAAAAATGCGAACAAGTGGAATGATGGTGTTTGCCGCTTCAGAAGCTTTAATATACGAATATCAAACAAAAACAGGACATCGGTAATATGGAAATATTTAGATTTTAAAGTCACAGACACCAAACAAAAACAGGTCATTTGTAGGAGCTGTCATAGAATTGTTGCCACAGCACGAGGAAATACAACAACCAGCACCTAAAAAACCACCACAGGCTTTGAGGTGATATGAGGAGTGTCTTGCTGAAAAGTCAACTGAAAGTAATGCCAGTGACACTTATCGCTTGACAGTGTATAATAAGCTATACTATCTCCCTAATTTAAGTTCAACTTGTTTATAGAACTATAAGGTTATTTTATTCGTGTTTACAGCTTACTCTTTCTGAATACTTGAAAAAAAAAATTGGAATAAATATTTAAGTAAGTTAATATCTTTTCAGTTCCTTTTTTTTATGAACACTGCATTTTAGCAGTAAGAAACTATGATACAGATTATTGAGCTGAAGCTTGACAACAAAATTAAAGCACAAATCTAATCAAAATCGCAATATCTGACAAAAAATATATATATATATATAAATAAATTATATATTTTCCCCAAATCTCACAGCCCTAGTTGGATGTCTTTTCTGACAAAAGATAAAGTGATGCATGAGATTTTGAATACAAATTACAATGTAAAAAAATATAGATAACCAAACTACCAATAACATTTACTACAACTTGTTTTTTCTGACCAAATATACATGATCAAATGGCTTAATAAATGTGACAACCCTAAATAATCCCTCTGTAGCCTGGTCAAATGGTCACATTCACACCAAGGATGATAACAGTAAATATAGAGTATTAAAAACAGTCAATACCAAAATTAAAATGACAACAGCACAAAGAAACAATATCACTTTAAGAACCATCTTTTTTCGGCTGATAAATATAACAGCAGTTGCACTTTCTTTATCTATTTAGCCCAAAGGTAATTACCAAAAGATGATTATAAGTGTCAGCCTTATTAAAACTGGATTTACCACATACCAACTAAAACCAGATTTAATGCCACACAACAACAAATCATTAGACAAGCCATAGATGTAGTGCCACAGCTAAATCAATACTAACTAGCATAGTAGAACAATTACACAACTAGACACAGTTAACGTCTGTTAATTTTCTAGTTCACTATTTACTATAGCAAATAACAAATAGGAAATTATCCCAAAGACTCTAAAATCTCTTTTAATGCCTTTAACCACCAGTTATGGGCCAAACTGCATTACGGTCAAAAGGACACTGCACCACAGACTCTTCCCATCAGTTCATATTACATTAGACATCACTGTAGTAAACCATTTACCATAAATCTCAACATCTTGATTTACAAGACTGATTAACACTTGGCGAGAGACAAAAGTGAAAGCACGATCACAAAGAAAAGCATTCAAATGAACTTGCGTAAAAGACCTGAGTGAAATAAAGTAATTCAGACCTGGTTTATGGGGGTTTATAAACTACATTGTCCTCGCCTCACCTTTCTTAGTCTCTGTGCTGGTAGCCACCCGTTTGGCCTCTTTGCTCTCCTGGTTGGCTCTGTCCTTCTGCTTCTTCTTGCTGGTGCTGACCGTGTCATCCGGTCCCCTCTGACCTCGCCTGCGGCCTGATTCGCTGGATCCTGTGCTGCTGCTGGCCATTTTCAGCCACTTGCCGCTGATGGTTCGGCCGTCTCCTACCTCGCTCCCGCTGCCGGAGCCGCTTCCACTGGGGTCTGGATCTGAGCTGTGCCGTTTCCTGCCCGGTCCAGCTATCTTGGCGGCGTTTCAAGTGAGAGCACTCCCAGAAGAGAATCAGGAGACTGTAAACAAAAGCAACAGCGATGATGTAATACAAACAGACTCCATTTTACCGGCAGTACACATGAGTAAAATGATGGAATTATACAAGAAACAACTTTTAATTTCTGATCGAATGTTAGGGCAGACAAAGTTGAAGGATATCACATAAAATCACACTTGAAATAATAAATCCTTGGTCCCTTGCCCAATGTTCATAATTTACCCAGGGTTAACAATTACTCGTGGGTATTCATACACTGTACAATCCAAAAACCTGGATTATGTCATTATTTTGTGACGATTGGACAGTTCAGACATTTAAGCTCATCTCACAGCATTTATAGTAAGACTTTTTGTATCATTTTGGAAGACATTTTGAATTCATCTTGATGCATTAAAGTTATCTTGTGAAAATGATGATTGTTCTGATAGAAGAAGCTTTGAAACTAAACGTTGCCTTTATCATCAATCTGCCTGATTATAGAACAACACCTCATGCATAAACAAAATGGATTAAACATGCACCAAATGTACTTTTATTTATTGTAGAATTCAAACAATATAATAAGCTATACAAGTAAATAGTAATAGTACAACAATAACACTAGGTGTTTATTTATTTTATTTGCCTACATTCTGCTACATTTTATTTCTACAGTGTCAACAAAGTGTCATATCTTATGCTGTAACGAAAATTACACTTAGTTGTCATTTATTACTGATTTTAATTAGTCAATAAATATGACAAAAAGCCAAAGCTTTGTGTTAACGTTAATTACTTACACGACTAGCCACAAACGACGATAACGGCAAATGTCAATATGAACACACGTCGTTGTCATGAAAAACGCCAAATACATTTGATAACACATATAACTCTAAATAATTGTTCTCTTTCATTTCCGCTGTCATATTAGCTGTCAAATGAGAAAACAGTATTCAAAGGTGTTCAAGCTGCTTAAAATCCCCGGCTGCTAACAGCACTAGCATAGCTTGTCTGACTCGATACCACACTCAAGTACTCTTTAATTCAAAACACGCCACAAACAAACTACCACCTAACGTAAATTATGTTGTCGAGCAGATAAATATAACGTCCATAAAGTGTGACACATCTTAACTCTGTAGTTTGGATATAAGAGACACTGGTTAGCCGTGTTGTGCGAACACTGAGCTAACGTCGAATGCCCATAAAGGGAATGGAGCGCAGGGCCTGTGCTTAGTCTCTCTCGCCGGCGCACAGCTAATCATGCGCTTAGCTTTCCACAGCACGCGCTTTACCATTTTACCGCAAGGTCGGGTGGTGCGGGACTGTCAAAAGTGTTGATACCGGCAAGATAAGTGACATTTTGACATGACACCGGTTTAGGTACATAAATTCTTACTCTGTTTCTTTGTTGTCCTATAATGAGGAGTCGTTATCGGCTTGTCCTTTCCTCCGCGGCGACTGTAGATTAATTCAGCCCCAGGCTTCACACACGGCAGCGGGCCGCCGATCGCCCCTGAGCCGCATCAGCTTGCCCCTGAAACTCAATGCTGTTTTATTTCAGAAATAATCCTAACCAGGACCCATTTTGTGGCGTCAAAATAGAATCCAGGCCACTGTACATACAAAACAAAGACGCTGTCCGTGCTCTACCCGATGAGCCGAGCGCCGCTCCGTCACTCGCACTTTGTTAGAGAACAAAACAAACCGGGTAGAGACGGAGATCACGCCAACCTGCCTGCCTGCCCAAACACACACACACACACCAGATACTTCCGGACACTTGCTCCACAACAACCATGCGCAGAAGATTTTTTCTTGAATATTCTAGATTTGGATATCTTGAAGTGTACTTACATTAGGCATCTGTAGGGTACCCTTGGATAAAACTATTACGGTTTCACGGTCTTGTGATTAAGTTACTGCTCTAAAATGTATTCTTTTTAATTGTCTGGGTAAAAAAAACGAAAACTCCCCCCCCCGCATTCAACGCAATACATTTTATTTAGAGAACATTTATTAGCCTATATTAAAAAAAACAGTAAATATGTCAGGTGAAATAATTCAAATGAATCATTGACTTCTGCTGTCTTCAAAAACTCAGATTTCTTTACATTTTAAAACGGCATATTTGGATATCTTTTCTGCTGGAGATACTGTTGTCCTAAAAAAAAAAAAAAAAAAAAAAAACGTAATTAAAACACCTTACACATAGCCTACCATAAGAATGGTTTTTACAGAAAATTATGGCATTTTTAAAACTTTGTCGTTTCCGAACCGCGGTATTTGAAAACGGTTATCGTCCCATGCCTACTACACATATCTGATATAAAGTAAGCTTATTGTTAAAACATCAAGATAAATGTCATTATTTGGATTCAAACTTGTTAAAGTGTTGGAAAAACAGCAAATATCAGCTTATGGCATGTATTATTTTTATATTTTAGAAAGTGCCCTGTTTATTTATTTATTTGCCCAGCAAACAATAATTGACATAACTGTCTTTTTAAAACGTTATGCTTTGCCACTAGTCTTCAAACAACCAGCTACCTTTTACCCATTTAGTCTTTTAAAATAATACAATTTAGTGTGATAATTTTTTGCTTTATTCTGCTTTTAAAAATGCAGGTCAAAATATTGTTAGTAAGCTGCATTTTTACTTAAACGTGCTTAAGATTGACAGTGTATGTTATTTATTGTCATCAATAGTTATCATTTTTTTCTCCACAGAAGTTACAATTCTCACATTTAGCATTTATTTGTATGTAAAATCAAATTTAAATTTTAACTTTATGTGTCCTTTAAAGTTGGACATTTTGGTATTGTTTTCCATTGTTTATCTTATTTTAATAGATTATATTTCATTAAAATAACAGCAACTGCCTTCACTGTGATTTACTGTTTTGGCAGTTTATTAGATGGAGTCGAAAGACTATTTAAACAATCTTACAGTTTTGATTCACTTTTTTAAAAAAGCTAGACAATTATAATACATTATTAACAATATTTCTGATAACATTCACACTTGTTAGGTGATTGTCCAAATAAACTCACAATTTGTGAAGAAATTAAAGTTAATAACTGATAATAAAGCAACAATTGAATTACTGGAAACATTTATGAATTGAAAATAATTACTTAATTAGCAAATTTTTGTTTTTAATCACTTTCTTCTCATGTACAGTGCTCAGCACAATTGAGAACACCCCACTTTGAAACTGAATATTTGTATCCATTTCTCAGTGAATATAGGCAATGTATTTTGGTGCAATTAAACAAAACAGATTCATTCAACAGATATATTTATCAAAATGATATTTTAGTCACCAAACATATTTACAAATTGATAGATAATACAATTAAATTCAAGCTAAATATTGCAAAACAATAAAATACATTACAACCTACAAAATTTCAATAACATTATTTTATTTTTTTTATTATTATTTTTTGCTTCTCATGATTTTTTTAAAAATTATATATTGAATATTTTTCTATAATGTATAAATTTGACTGTACTAGTTTTTGAACCGTTATCGTAAGTTATTTTGTTAGATAAGCTCCAGATTTGGCTTCAGTACTGACTAATCTAATGCATATGCACAAATATAATATTCTACAGATTCCTATTAAAATATGAATTTTAAAGATAGATTTGTGAGGGTTATACTTGTATATTCTGAGCACTGTATGTAAGGGGTAAGTGTAACAGTGACACGACATACAGGAATACAGAACACACAGGGATATTTTATTTTTTATAAGACATTGTTGCTATTTTTATATAATCAGAAAAAATATTCTGTAGGTCAGTAATAAACAACGATAAACAACCAGTGGCTTATATAGACAACTTTTCATTTTACTTCATTTTTATAATGCCTCAGTTAGTCCGTTCTTACAGTAGTTTCTCTGACAGACATTCAGTCTAATATTGAAACTATTTTCTTCAGAAGACAACAATTCTAAAGTGTTTCTCATTAGAAAATGAGTGTTTTTACTCAACATTAACCAATATCTGTTAAAAGAATACACTAAAACTTCTGTCACAATTCAGTGTCTTTTACATTCAAGCAAACTCTGTAAATCTTCATTATATACTGTATACAGTATTTTACAAGCACATGACAAGAAACACTTCTCTGCCATACAAGACACATCTGTATTTCATTGAACTCCATAATGAAAAAAGTGTTAATGTAGTGTCAGTATAACAGCAGCCCTTTAGTAAAGCAACATCTGATCCACACATAGTGTCTGATGGCAGTTTGGCATCGTAATGTAGGTTTGCTGGCAAATGTTAGCAGCCTGTGGAAAAGAGTCAAATGGCAGATCCGTTCAGTCCAGCTGTTTTGGATTATTGACAGGTGTTGTAGATCTGAATCTGCCTGTTGATGGCGTTCAGGATCGCCTTCATTTTATCTTCCAGGCCATCCAGCTGCCTGGCTTTGCCTTCCAATACCTTCTGGTTTTCTTCATAGTCCTTTTCAAGCTCTGTAATGCGATATTAGAACAAACCCAGATCAGACTTACGAGGAAACAAAACAATAACCGCCTCAAAAGAAAATGGCACATTGTCAATATTGCTTGTCACCACAAGAGGGTAGCATTTGTTTTTAAAATACTTGACAGATAAGCTTCAGAAAACAGTCTGACTTAAAGGGGTGGTCCACTACGATATTATATTTTAAACTTCAGTTGATGTGTAATGTAGCTGTGTGAACATAAACAGCATCTCTGAATGTAAAATATTCAAAGTTTAATGCAAAGGGAGACCTTGATTTGTACAGAGTTAGCTTAGCAACGCCTACAATTAACGAATTTTGGGGACTACAAAAAATACTTCCGCCCCCTGTGAGATCACAAAAGTTCGTTATTGCGCATCCCACACTGCGCAGGTAAAGGCCGTGGCCATAGGCGCTGTAACGTTACTGCAGAGAGAGAAATGCCATCCTGCTGTTTCCACAGAGCTGTTCTGTTTCTGTTGTTGGGCTTCCAAATGACACGACCCAAACACAGAAGTGCTTACAGTTCAATATTAATTATGTTCCAGAGAACTATAAAATACATAGCAAGCATGATTTGACAAAACACAGCTTCCAGAATCTCTCCCAGTTCAGTGCTGGATTCAGTTAAAATCTCCTCAAAGATGGAGCAAGGAGACGCTGTGAACTCTGAGTCATGACCTGTAAGTGTTTTTATTTGTTAAAATTGATCATGACATGTACAGTGTCTAACTTTAACGGTGTGTTGTAGCAAAGATGTAAACAACGGGAAATTATGGTAACCGCTAACGACTTAGCTAACGTTACAAATCTATATTTATCAAACGGCTGTAAACGCACACACACACATACACATACACGCACTCTTGGCCAGCACCTGCGTCTCTCTGTGGGAGACGGCAGAGTTTCTCTCTATAGGCAGCTTTGCTATGCGTTTTACAACTCGGACAATAAAGTCGCAAAAGATATGTGAACGATTCATGTTACTTACACAGGCATATTCCGCATATGCATGAAAGACGTCCTGTAACGCGTTGATTTAAAAAAAATACAGCAATGATTTCCCAACTGGAGTGTAACATCAAAAACAAATCAATCCAGGCTCACAAAGGTCTCATCTCACATCTTGTGCTTTATTCTGTCACCATAGAAAATAACTTAATCCGAGCATGAGAGAAAAAGAACAATAAAAATCTCTCCCGCGCACATGCGCTTCTCGTGTTACAGATACTTCATCGTATACACGCATAAACACACTAAAAGGCACAGAAACAGTTAAAGGAGCCGCATCCCATTTTCACTCGTTACAGACACGTGTTGACTGACTGACTGACTGTTTACACAAAACGCGCGTGCTTGTCAGGGCGTGACGTGGAGCCGATCGGCGAATCACAGCATATTATGATGATGACCAATCAGAGTCACTTGAGGGTGGGCCTTTTAGAGAAACTAGGAAATATGACAGTCGTTTTCATGTTAGCTGAGTAGCTGTGTATAATCAAAGTGAGATTTATGAAAAAATAACACGATTTCCTTCAAGTTAAACATGAGCACACATTGCTTTGCATCTTATTAACACAACCAAGCCTTAAAAATAACATTCTGGACCACCCCTTTAAGTAGTTTAATTAGTATTTAATTACACATATTTTTAAATGACACATATTATTACAGATAAAATATTTTAAGTATTTAATTACACATATTTTATTTTATTAATAATATATTTTTGTATAATATTGTAATATTAATGACAAATCAACTATATATTCTGCAATAATATCACTCATACAGCCTTCTCATCCCTCTGTATTACTCCGCCAACATAGTGACAACAGATCAATAAACTCACTACAGTTTGACAAATATTGCAGCTGTCTAACTTTTAAAGGTTTTTTAAGTGAGAATGTAGTTGTTTAGATTTTAAATATGCAGTTTATTTATAAGGACAGTGCCTATTTGAAATATTTAGAATTTCAGAGATGCATGTTTGCATCCATCAATCCGTCGTACTGAACAGAGTAAAGACGATTGATGTTCTGCCACAAGATGGCGACAGAGACTGCATAATAAGCCTTTAGAAGAAAAAAACTCAGCTGATCAAATTATTATTAAGCTGGTAAGTGACTTTCTAATTTGATTTCTCTCTTTTGAGTGTTGTAGTGCTGTATTTATACCATAGTAATCTGGTAGTGTTTGCGTTGCTTTTGGCTTTTTCGGGGTAAATTATTGTGATCTCCCGATTGCAACAGAGAAATACTGGGAAATCTC